AGTGAAATTAAGACCCTATTTGCTATTAAGACCCATGAGTACACATGTATTCTTTGTAGTTCAATGGTCTATTTCTAACATCCTAGATCTCTATGTGAATTCTCTTAGGATTACTATAAACGCTAAGAATAAGTGAGAGGGTACCTGGGAACCTAATCAGTTACTATTGTCTCAAATATGGACTCAGATGAGTTGAGCTAAATAAGCACAATTAGCCAAAGTTGGGATAATAATTATTGCATTGTTTAATTTTTAAAAAATAAAAATGAGACCATGGGCTCTTCCTATAGCCTCTGTAGACCTGTTACTCTCCAAAGTCCCGGAAACCTGTTCTAAGTGCCTTCTGGAGTTCCAGATCAGTCAGCCAAAATCTGTATATCAAAATTTGAGATAATTTGCTTTCAGTTCCCTTAACGTTGTGAGTAGTTATTTCTACTTTACTTGTATGGGAAGGGGTCTCCAATATGTATTCAACTTTGTTAGCCCCTGGGATTTGTCTACATCTTCCCTCACCCTTTAAGGTCTTGAAAAACCTAKATCTCTTTTATGTAGTTTGAAAAATGCCCTTATGCTGAAGTCCAATCTGAATTTTCAAAAGATTTAGTTTCTTTTCTGAAAGATGGTCATACCACACTGTTGGAAATGGAAATTTAAAATATTACCTTTGTAATTATGCTCCATGCTCACCACCCCAAGGCTGTACAYGTAAGCATTTCATGATGCTGGTCTTTCTCCTCCAAGGCCAGATGGATTGCCAACTTCCCAGTAGTAGCCATATTGAAGAGTGGATCTACCAGTCAGAATTTGCAAAGACAACATGGCTTCTATTTTCCAAAATTCTCATTCTTTAATGAAGAAGTCATAGCCAGAACAAATTCATAATGAAAATCAAAATGATAAAGATGATAGAAACCCAAATATAGAATGTTACATGGCATAAGACCATAAGGGACCAAGTCTATGAGTATAATATAGACACCCCTCAGCTTTTTAGGTGAACATTAAATGAAGTGGGATCCTTTGACAATTTGTGACTACCAACTTCCATAGATCCTGAAAGGACTTCAATTTCTCATTTGCTCAGAATAGGAGGCATGGCTCTAGCTCTCTAGTCTCTGCTCCAGAAATCACACAGGAAGAGGGCTGAGCATGGTGTAGCATAGTGGACCAGAAGATCTGTGAAGAGGGAGGCAGAAGGATGGAGATGAAAGAAAAAGGTGTAGTAGTGGTTTATGGCTACAAGATAGGAGAGGTCTGAGGACAAAAAGAAGGGGATGATGTATATAGAACGCTTTTAGGTAGATGTTGATACCATCACCTACAACAGTGTTGCTTAAATGTGCCCAGACAGGAAACATAAAAGTAAGAACCTGTATTTCTGGAGAGCTTGCCCTTGAAGATTCTAATTCACGGAGTCTGGAGCAGGGCTACAGAATCTGTATATTTCTGTGTAACAAGTGATGTCATGGTAGGCAAAATACATCATGCCTAAAAATAAAAATAAGGGACTTCTGGAACTATATTTAGCAAACAAATAACCCAGACCAGAATTCATGGAATATGCAGAATGTATGGAGACAGAACAATAATCTTATGGCAAAACATTTGCATGAAGCATAGAGGCAAACAAAATTCCCAAATCATCTTAATTTATGAGAGCATTAATGTTACCCTAAGTAGTTGACTAGGTTTCTAAGAGTTAAGGCACAACTGATGAGTAAGACAGTACCATGCAACAAAGCTTTAAAAGAGGAACTGGGGAAGGAGACATGTTGCCTCCTGCCACCTTGTGGCAGAATCATGCAGTTAATAAAGATAGGCTGGAAGTTGAACAACTTGAGTCCTTCAACAAATAATCGTTAAGTGGCTTGAAACTGCAGTCTACTTTCTCAAAACAACAACAACAAAAAAAAAAAAAAAGAAGAAAGAAAAGAAAGAAAGAAAGAAAAAAGATTATTACAATTTTACTTAAAATTTCAGATTAACAATGAAAGCTTTAAAATAAAAGTAAAGTCAAACATTATATTACCATTGCTAGTGCTGTTCTCCCATTTATGAGTGAGGGTGAAACTTATTTTTCTAGGGTTATTCATCATTCTCTTGATTAAGTTTATGTACAGGTAGTTGCTGGCCAGAAATGGGGAATGTAGTCAATGAGAGAGGTCTCTGCTATTCTCCCCTTTATCTATTCTATTTTCTCAATTTTTTAGGGTCAGGTAAACTTAAGCTACTGCAAGGCTATTATATAGGTGAGTGAAGCTTTCAAAAGAGATAAATCTCATCAGTAGCTGGAGAATAGTTAGTTACCTACCTAACTCTATAGTTAATTTTACATGTCAAACTTGGCTAGGCTAAGATTAAACATTATTCTGGATGTTTCTGTGAAGGTGTTATTTGGATAAAATTAACATTTAAATTGGTTTTCTAAAGAAGATAACCCTCTATAATGTGGATAGGCCTTATTGAATCACTTGAAGGATTTAATAGAACAAGGACTGACATCCTTTCCTCCAAAAACAAGAAGTAATTCTGTTAGCAGACTGTCTTTAGATTCCAACTGCAACTGTTACCCAAGCCTTCAGTCTGCCAACCTACCCTGCAAAATTTGGATTTATGAAACCACCACAGTCTCTTAAGCCAATCACACATACACACACACACACCATCAGTTTTGTTCTCTAGAGAATCCTGAGGCCTATCAAGATGTCAGATGAATGACTGGGACTTTTGGAAATGATAATCTCACTAGTAGCTCAAGAATTGAATGTTTCTACAAAGATTTGGTCTGTTCTCAGTATCTTCTATAGTACTCTCTTTGTATTTTGAGTTCAAGTTAGGGGTGACTTAATTTGTAGAGCTTGTTCCATTTTCTTGGTTCTGCCTACTTTTTTTGTGTTGACTTCATTCTTAAGAATCATAACAAGAAACCTCCAAAGTTTCAGGATTTACACAAAAACCGAAGAAAACAAAACAGTTTAGTTATAGTATTCTAAAGAATTTTTACTACAAATCAGCCTACTACTGAGACTAGGGCTTGGGGATGAAACCTTATTGATAAACATATTATCATGTTTTATATGATATATATCATATATTGCATAAGTGTAATATGTTTATACATTACATAAATTTATTATACATTAAATACAAAATATGTAACACATATATGCTATATAATATATAAACATACTATTTATATTAAAACAATCTTTGGAACTTCCTCTGAGTCATACAGAATCAAGAAAGATAGGCAGATAGTTGAGTAAAATCCTGGTTYTGTTCTGAACCAGAAGGTGAGAGATGGGAAATGGATGCTGGGTAGGCAACCAATAATGCCTACTGAACACTTACCTATTATCAGTGATGGATTTRTCACAACACAGAGGTGATGATATGCAAATGAAACACAACTAGTACCAGGGAACTGGTTAGGAATAGTAGAGATTATGGTAAACAGAAATCAGAACCAGTTAATAAAGGGAGCTTCTATTTTGCTGTAAGTAATGTGACCATGCAAAAACATAACCTTTGTGTTGGTAGATTTTCAGCAGCTGCAAGAGAAGTTGATAATCTGGATTTTTATGTAAAATATCTGTATTTTAAATGTCAGCAACTACGTCAGTTTTTGTTCTTGTTTTTAATCATAGGAACAGTTAATACTGTTTAAAGTATATCTGTTGGCCAAATATACTCTGTGAACTTCCAGTTTGTAAACTCCAGGTTAGAAGCACCATTGATAGCCATTTAGTAGTCCTGTGGATTTGCAAAGAGTAGAAGAGCCAAAGGAGAGTGATCAGAATGAGTGTCATTATCTTATATAGTACTTTTCAATAGATGGCTCAAATACAATTCTCAGGCTTCTGCTTCACCAAAGGAAATGTAACTCCATTTATAGCTACAATTAAGTTTTTCTAGGCTAGGCAAGGTATTCTGGTATCAAACTCCACAAAAACTTGTTTTCTGCTTTTTCACTTCATGCACAGGTAAGACCTCTCAGATGCCGTATCTTACCAAAATGTCTTCAAACTACCAGAAATTCAGCGTGGAAGCGTGGATACTCCAGTGCAGCAGTCCTTTAGCTCGCAGTACTTACACAGAAATCCAGTGTGAAATAGGTTTGCTTCTCTCCAAACATGACTACATTTATATTTTTTAAAAAGGTACAGCAATCATTCTTCCATTTCTGGACACTTATTTGATGTCATTGGGTACTTTTTCACAGTTTTTGGAGACATACAACGTTTTATTGTTAGGTTAGATTGATTACCTTCCTATCATTAAGACATTTAGTTTAACTGAATGGAAAATAGCAGTGTATCATTAACTAAAAAAGAAAAAAAAATTAATGCTAATTAGCTTAAGAGACTAATATTGAGGTCAGAGACTATTCATTGAGATGCGCTTATCCTTCTCCTGGTCAATTTCTYGTCCCTCAAAAGTACAAGAGCTGTCAACCCGCTAGAATCTAGAGGGTATGATGGGATGGGATGACAGCCAAAATTCCCCAGGTGATTCTTATGTGTAGGCAACACTGAATAGTTTCCCGTAATAAAAATCTACAAGACCCTAATCCATCAAATCCTTTAGATTTTCCCCAGAAGGCTTAATTTCAGCAATGTCAAAAGCTTCTGCCACACGTTTTCCAAAGGTGTCTCAGGCTACTGCTCCTCTGCCCGGAGATTGACAGGACCATTAGCCAATCGGCAGGCGGAACGAGTTTCGGGGGTGGGGGGAAATTGGCAATAGAACAAGATACTTTATCTCAGCAGAAAAGCAAGGCCAACAAGACAACAAAAGTCAAGGGCTCCCGGCGCGTTAAGGAGGCCTGGGTATCTCGGGAGGTCTTAGCTCCTAGGGGCTCTTGTTCCTAGGAGGCGGTGCTTACGCAGGTTGCCAGGCACCCTCACGCGTCACTTCCTCCCGCTGGAGCTCACCCGRTTGAAGCAACTTCCTCTTTTTTTTCCCTTCTTCCTCTTCCTGACCCCGCCTGCCGGAAGCTGGTTTCTTCTTCGGCGCGGGTCAGAGGTGAGGGATGGGCGGCCTGCGCGGGCCTAGGTGAATAACTGCCCCGAGGTGTGTTCCCTGTGGCGCGAGTTTAAGAAGCCGGCTTAGGTCTCTGCTGTGTGCCTTGGCGAAACTCCGCCCTCTTGGTCTTCGGGCCTACAGTTAGCTGGGTCCTTGGCCCCCTTCAGTAGCCGTCCTTGCCCTGCTCCCGTCTCTCCTCTTTYCAGGCGAGGCCAGACTCAGTTTTCTCCCACCGATACCCCTCTCCTTACCTGGAAGGAAAGCAGGCTGTGGTCTCGGTGATGGCAGGGTTGCTTCCTGAAGTAGCGAAAGTGCCTTAGCGTCCCTTCCGCCTCCTTTGAGCTCCGAAACTCTGGAAATAAGGTAGGGCAGATGAAAACTGTGTGTGTTGGTTGTACAGGTGAGGAAACCAACCGGCACCTTTTGGTGAACTCAAGCTTTTTAAGGCAAAACACGGTTCCCCAAGAGGAAGAACTGGGATTCGTACCGGGTCTGATTTCCTTATTTGGAAATAGGGGGAAAACTGCAAATATTACAGGGAGAGCTGGAGTTTTTGAGTGAGAGGTTTGTGTTCGGCATTATTTCTCATTGAAATCGCATCACTTGTTCCTTATAATAGGCGTGGGCAGTACGTGTGGTTATTTCTGGCTTAGGAAACTGAGGTTCAGAGATGATTACTGACTTGTCCATTATTAATGACTTAGTAGCCATTTCCCAGATCTCTTTCAGCTCTCTGATTCTAAACACTATGGAACTAACTTCTGTCATCATCAAACTCTACATTTCTGGTTCTGGCATTTCAGGAAGTGTGATTGTTGAAATTTATTTGTAGTCTCTTCACTCTTTGCCCRTTGTCTTATATCTTATTAACATCTTATTTAGAAACCTGTAATGTCAATTCTTCCTCGATGTGTTATTTTTTTATTTCTTAAAAGGAATTTGGAGGTGGTGTTGCTTTGTGTGTAATTAATTAATAGATCTAGGGTGACATGTAAGTTTTTACATCATGCATGGTCTTTCTTTATTGTTATTCTCCTTGCATTATCTTATTTCAGTTTCTGCTCTTTTTTTCCCTTCCAGGAAAACGGCTATCATCTTATGCCAAGATGTCAGGAATCGGAAATAAAAGAGCAGCTGGTGAGCCAGGCACATCCATGCCTCCAGAGAAGAAGGCAGCTGTTGAAGATTCAGGGACCACAGTGGAAACAATTAAGCTAGGGGGTGTCTCTTCAACGGTATGGCAAAACAATGCTATGCTTTTCTAATGTTGTTTGCAACCTGGAACAAAAAATTTATGGAAGCCTTTTGGAAAAAGGAAAAGACATTTGAAAAGAAGAGGGAAATAAAAGAGGTGAAGTGGGTGAAATGATATGGTGGTCAGTTCTAGAAGAGAGGTACACTGACATTTGTGTTTGTTTTCAAGATGTGTTTATGTTCTTTTGAGACTCTGATGTTTGACATAGCATTGGTTAAAGTTATTTAGCAGTGGGAATATAAACATTCATTTTTTAAGCACAGGAAAATTTCGTGCCAAGTTCTAAAAGATAGTATAGTAAAACAAGTGAGTGTGGTGAAAAGTGAGAGTCTGAAGCCAAGTTAACTGAGGTTTATTCTCAGCTGCACTACTTTCTAGCTGGATGGCCTTATGTTATCCTTCCTTTGCCTCTGTTTCTTGTGAAATGAATTTACAGTACTTGTCATGTTAGGTTGTAATGAGAGTCTTTGTTAAGTGTTACAACATTGCCTTCAACATAGTAAGTATACCTGAAAGTGAGCTATTTACTACTATTGTTGTACTAGATTAATATAATGGGGAGTAAAATTGGTACTTTTCTTGCTCTTGTGGCAATGACACTTTCATTGGAGTGTGTACACCAAAAACTCAGCAATATTATATATCTTAACAGATAAGAACTTATAAGTTTTGAACTAGATCAAGATTCTGTATTTTGGAACTCAGCCAGGAGATATGATGTTAAGGTGCCCTCCATTATTTATTTTTAAGGCTGAGGTCCTGAGAGGTTGATTCTTTACAGAGTCCCCCCCCCCCCCAAAAAAAAAGGAACATTTGTAGTAAATTGTTGATGAGGTGTCAGCTCTGGAGCTCTCTGGGGTTAAAGTAGCGCATACTGCTGTCAGGAGATGGTTCTTTCAAACAATGCCTCACACCATGCACTCCAAACATATTYACTCAAAGGCATGTATTGAAATATTCAAATGTAAGTATCCATTGAGCATCTTATTGGCTAGATAGTGTGCTTTACATTGAGGATAGCCCCTAGACTGAAGTTATTCACATGGGAATAAACTGTTAAAATGGAATGTGATGTATGCCATTGATAGAAATAAGCACATGCTCTAAGGGAAGCCCAGCACATATCCAGCTTGGAGTTTATCCAGAGGGCAGTTAGGAGCCATTGGAAGGTCTTTTTTTTTTTTTTTTTCCTTTCTGGGGATTGAACACAGGGGTGCTTTACCACTGAGGTAAGTCCCCAGTCCTTTTTATTTTGAGACAGGGTCTTGTTAAATTGCTTAGGGCCTTGCTAAAGTTGTTGAGTCTGATCTTAAATTTGTGATACTCCTGCCTTGGCCTCCCAAGTCACTGGGATTATAGGCATGCAATACCATGCCCTCCTGGAAGGTCTTAAATAGGGAAGTAACATGCTCTGACCTATGTTTGGAGGGGAACAAGGGTTACAACAAGAATTCATTTAGTAGAATTATTCCCTTTCTCCTTCTCATCCTCCATCTGCCACACCTGATAGCTAAACCTCTCCAAAGGTGGGGATCTGAGGCATGTATCCATTGGCTCCTGCCCATTAGTTGAAGGTTCCTGTTGAAAGCAATGGCTCTTCTTGTGTGTATTTCAAAGTTGCTATAGTGAGCCAGCTGAGATTGTGGAATAGAAAAAACTATGTGACTGCAAAGTATGCTTAAAGTGGGACTACTGGCAGTATGAGTTGACTTTTCCACCATATCTGTGCTGAAATCTGGCATGCTGACAAAACATGGAACAGAAGTACTTGCTACAGGAAGCCTTTGCTGGAATTCTAACAAGGGAATATGGTGTGGACCACCATGGAAGTAGCATTGACAAGATATGCTAGTGGAGTGGATGAGGCATATGAGAGGTAGAAGGGAATATCCCATAGGCTTTTGGAAGTAATGAAGATTTCTCTTATTTAGCTAAGTAGGGRTATGAGAAGAATAGGATTTTGGGAATCATGAGTTTGGTTTAGTTTTAAACATTTAGTAGAGGCAATTAGATCACTAAGTAGATTGGTAGTTGGATATAGTAACCTGGATTCTGGAGAGAGGTATGGGCTAACTGGGTTAAGGCTGTATATTTGGGAATCACCATTTTGGAAATGGTACTTAAATGAGATTAGAGACTCTCAAGCAATAAGCTTACATATTGAACAGGTCTAAGGTCAGAATCTTGGTGTACTGCAACATGTTTGCTTCAAGGAGATGAAAGGAATTAATTAAAGAGACAAAAAAAGAAAAAAGGGAACCAATAAAATGAGGTGTAAAGGAAACAAGTAAAGAGTGGGGTCCTAGGTTTGAAGGAGTTGATCAGGTGCTGCTGATAGGTTGAGTAAGGTGAAGGATTGTGGTATTATATGTAGTAATCGTTCATTGGAGAYTCAAAAGACCTATGTAGGTGCAGTAGTGGGGATGGATTGCAGTGTGATTAAGAAAATATAGAGGAGAGGCACTAGGGAAATGAGGGGGAGACAGTGTTTTGAAGGAGCATTATTGTAAAATAGGACAAATAAAATGAGGGTAGTAGCCAGAGAGAAATGGGAAATGGGATCAAGGAAAAGATTTTGTTTGTTTTTTAAGATTTGTTATACTGTAGTATGTTTATCTATAGACAAAATTATTTGRTAGAAAGGATGAAATTGATGATATAGCAGAAAGAGGAGACAAGTTACAGGTATGATGGTCCTTGAGAAGGTGAGAGGGAATGGAATGGAATATACATGTGGAGGAAATGGCCTTGACTAGGAACAGGGATGGCAAGAAAGAAGGCAGGGGATATGGGTTTGGATATAGATAGGTTGGCAGCTGTGGTTGTGGGAGGGAGGTATGGGTGTCCTCTTCTGATTGCTTCTATTTTTTTTCAGTGAAATCAAAAGCAAGACTCATCTGAGAGTGAGGATGGGGGAGGAAGAGACAGGAGAAGGTATGAAGTAGTCATCTTGAAAAGAGAATGGACCAGGGAGGTGTAGTTGAGTTGTTGGGCAGCACTGGGGCCCACTTGAATTTGTGAACATGAGCTTAGAGTGAAACCAGTCATCAGCATGGTATTCGTTATTTTATTTTTCCTAGTCACTTTCAGCTGCATGGCTAGGCTTAGTGTATGTGGAAAATAGGTTGTTACCAGGATTGGAGTTTTTACCAGAGAAATGTGATGAAGTAGCAAGGAAAGATAGAAGGTTTCTAAAAGGCAAAATGACTGATCATGAGATTTAAGTCTGATTAAAAAAAAAAAAAAAGGAGGAAGTGAGAGTAACAAAGGATTGGGAAAGGCATATGGATTGTAGATTCTAGAGAGGTTGAAGAATTGTTGGAGTTACGAAATTGGAATGAGTGAGCTGGAAAAATAGGTRCTATTTCTGAAGAGTGAGCTCATTGAGAACCTGCAGGTACAGCTAAAAAAGAGAATAACTAGGGGAGCTGATCACAGAGAGACCAGTGACTTGATATCCAGAAAGATCATCTATATGGGAATTGAACTGATTAGGAATTATGTCAGGAGTAGTTGTGTAGAAAGTGAGAGATAATAAGCTAGATGCTAAATCTTCGAGAAATATGGGGACATGACTTGGGCATTTATAGATCAGTTCAACCATAGCCAGTGGCAAGTGGTAAAGAACAGTGGCATAAGCTGCACAGTTAGGATGTTTTATGGAGGCAGATGSGTTAATGGCTTGGGAATGGCAATGGAAAACAAGGTATCACCTGCCTCCAGGCCTCCGGAGGGAAACAGCCACAACTGGAGAAGCCTTCAGGGAAATGGTGTTCTCATCTAGGTTTCAGTGACAAGAGGGGGAAGATGATGTTCAGAGAAGAGGCTAAAGATACAGTTTATTAATACTATTAATAGTATTAATAAATAGTGGAAACTATTGTCTGCTTTGACATGTCAAGAATGTTTTAACTAAATGAAAAGAGAAAAGTAGAACAAGAAATTGGTGCTCTAATAAGCAATTCTTAATTTAAAATATTCATCTTAGTTATTCCTAGTTGAAAGAAAGAATGTAAGCATTTCCACATACTATTTCTTGGACTGTGATATTCCAAACTTTGTGTCCCCTCCCCAACCTGACTTAGGGCAGGAACTAGAGAGGTTAAAAGTATTGAGAGGGGTGTGGAATTACAAATGGGGTGAGATTTTTGYGCCAACAGAAGAAGAAGGGGTCCTGAGCACAAATAGAGGTTTTAAGAATGTGTGCTTTGGTTAGTGAGTTGTGTGATGAGTTATAGAAGTGAAGAATTCAAGAGTTTCAGAGCTGATGTCTGATATATTTTTTTTATTAGAAAAAGGAGATAAAGCCATGTGTTTAGTGTGATATGAAAGAGGGTAGCATTTGATAAAGAGTTTTCTGTTGCTTTGATTGTAGAATGGGAGCTCATCTGTTAAAGAAATTTTTCTTCACAAATTATAAGATCTGTTCAGGTTAGGAATTCATTTTATAAAGTCACCAGTCTCCCTGGTTTAATGACTTCATCCTGAAGTCTTAGGAAACTGTCTATTKGAATGGAATAGTCTGAATTAATTCTGATTGGGGTTTGTTCACAGAGGTAGAATAAAAGAAAGGCAGAGAATGGAGGAGAAGAGTAGCCAGGTGTTTGAAGGAATGTTCTACAGAGTATACTTAGAATATGGAAGGTAGTGGAAACAAAAAGGGATTGAGAAGGAGAAAGAGAATTCAAATTCTGGAGGTCTAAATGAGGTAAAAGAACTYGAATAATAGTGTAAGGACATGAGATACATGGAGAAATATGGTTTTATTCAGGGAATGGGAAGTTGGAATTTTAAGATTTCAGATGTAGCAGAGTTCCAGATAATGTCTGTGAGATTGTTTTGGGAATTCATAACTGAAGCACAGGTGAGGGTATAATCACTAAGTGAAGGAGTTCAAACTACTGACAGCCTAGATGCTAGAGAATCAGATGGTCTGTCCACATGTATGTTGAAGTCCTCAGATACATTGGCAGGGACTGGAATAGAGAAGGATGCAGGTGCTAAAGTCTTGAATGAATGAAGAGTGGTTCTTAAGGGATAGAAGACAGTGTTCATTGAAGTAGAGAATGATCTAACTGGATGGTGGAGCCTCACAGTAGCATCACTTTGTGGAGGTAGATGTGAATGGAATAATAAAAAAGTGTAAAGTTGAGATTCTAGTGTATTTGTTTGTTCTTTCCTCATGTCATCACACACCTATACCTTTATCTTTTCTGCTTTTTCTTATCTATTTATTGTAAGATATCTTTATAATGAATAGCTTTATTCCTAAGAAATAACTAATGAACTAATGTGAACTTGATGAGTTTAACATCTCATTTGATTTCTTTGTGGTAACTAATAATACTGGTTTCCTGGGGTAGGAGGAGTTAGACATTCGAACACTACAAACAAAAAATCGCAAGCTAGCAGAAATGCTCGATCAGCGTCAGGCCATCGAAGATGAACTTCGGGAGCACATTGAAAAACTAGAACGACGACAGGCCACTGATGATGCTTCAYTGTTGATTGTCAACCGGTACTGGAGTCAGGTAGCTAACTTGTKTATTTGTTCAGATTTGTTTGAGCATTTTAGCTCTTAGTACTCTTTGTTTCAAAAGTTGTACCTTTTTCTATTTTCATAATTGTACATATGCTTCTCCAGTTCGATGAAAACATCCGTATCATCCTTAAACGTTATGATCTGGAGCAGGGTTTAGGAGATCTACTCACAGAAAGGAAAGCCCTTGTTGTGCCGGAACCAGAACCTGACTCTGATAGCAATCAGGAACGCAAAGATGACCGAGAGAGAGGTGAGTATTTGTGATTGATTCTATCATTGCATGTTATCTTGGTTTTCAAATTTGAGCTTTACTTTGAAGCTCTCCTTTTGAGGGGAAAAATGGATTTTGATATTTTCCCCCTGTGTCCTCAGGGGAAGGGCAAGAGCCAGCTTTCTCTTTCCTTGCTACTTTGGCCAGCAGTTCCAGTGAAGAGATGGAGTCTCAGCTGCAGGAGCGTGTGGAGTCCTCCCGGCGAGCTGTGTCCCAGATTGTGACTGTTTATGATAAATTGCAAGAAAAAGTGGAGCTCTTATCCCGGAAACTAAACAGTGGAGGTGAGGCAAGATCCTGGAGACCAGAGGTAGTGGGAGGTGAATTAAGTCACCTTTGTGGAACTGCAGTATAGCTTGATGGTAGAGCAGTTGCCTAGCATGTGCATGGCTTTGGGTTCAATCCTGAGCACCAAAACAGTAAAGGGAAGGGAAAAAAAAAGATAAGAAAAAGAACTTTCCTTTGCATGGTGATTTATAGTTTGCAAAATTACATATTTACTTTTTATTAAATTTTTTGGAATACTAGTCTTCATTACTRGTGATGCCATTACCATGTTATACTAGTATTTTAAGAATGCTTCACATTTTGAGCCACAGTCCTTCAACAAACTGAGGAAAAATCCCATTCTGATACTTTATATTAGATAGTTTTATAAGTTGCAAAATTAATTTTGATTTAAGAGTCAGTTTTAATGTTTTTGTTTTTAATGTTTTTAAAAAGAGTTGGCTGAGTTGGTTGTGAGATGATTTCTATGTTTAAAAAGGTAAAATAGCAAGGATATTGGGCTGGGAATGTGGCTCAAGCGGTAGTGCGCTCGCCTGGCATGCGTGCGGCCCGGGTTCGATCCCCAGCACCACATACCAACAAAGATGTTGTGTCCGCCGAGAACTAAAAAATAAATATTAAAAAAATTCTCTCTCTCTCTCTCTCTCTCTCTCTCTCTCTCTCTCTCCCTCTCTCCCTCTCTCCCTCTCTCCCTCTCTCCCTCTCTCCCTCCTCTCTCACTCTCTCTTTAAAAAAAAAGAAAGGATATGGATGATGAAGTGTGTACTTAAATCACTATTTGGAATGCTCATGTTATTCAGTGCTAATATAGGAATTTATATTTGCATACTACAGTTAAGTGTTTGTGTAGGTMGTTTACATCTGTAGTCCTTTGTGACAAATAACTTGCTCAAATGCAAATAAAATGCCTTGATTTTATGTTTTTAGTAACAATCATTGTATAGTTGTAATAACTATCCTGATTATCATTAAGATATTTAAACTTTTATTTCTGAGCGAAATAAACTGAATGTAGTGGAGTTGAACCTTTGGGTGGGCAAGTAAGAAGTACATTTTCTGTAAATTGAAGGATACTATGGCTAAATAATCAACAGAATTAAGAAGCATGTAGATGACTTGTGAAAATTTGGTCGGCAAAGGTTTCTTTAGTGTTTTTGTTAGTATGCGTATTTCTGGTTTTTTATTAAGGAAACATAGTGGGGAATGAATAGATATGAATCCTCCCTGTTACCTACTATAAAACAAGCTGTGTGTTACTTCTTTCTCCCTTGGTTCTAGTTGAAAAATTAGAAGGTATTGTTAAATCTTAATAATGTGGGTAATTTACAGAGGTTATATTAATGTTGGATTTGATTTTAGAAATGAATATCAAGTAAATTAACTGCTGATTTGTAAAGGAACTAAAATGAATACTGTATCAAACAGTACTTTAAAATATTTTGTTAATGGCATGTGGTTTAAGATTGAGTTTAAGTTTAAAATTAAAATATGCATTACAAATTACAAATAGCTGAACTATTTATAACACTAAAGGAAATCACTATTGAAAAGCTGAACTTTCTAAGAGACAAAAATATATAAACTGTATTGTAGTATCAAAATGAATTTTGGAAATTCATTTTCCCCTCATGTTTGTTTAGTCCTTGATTCAAAAGGATTACATTTATTAATTCACTGCATTAGTTTTCTGATCACACTCTTTTTTTTTTGGCTCTGCCCACAGAGATTCTTATTTAGTAGGTATGGGATGCCTCCTAGGGAAATGTTATTTTAAAAGTTCTGCCAGTGATTTTGATGGGCGATCYCAACCGCATGACCAGCACACTAGCTTCATACTAGAGGTTCGTAGCATAGAATTTAACTAGTGAGATCAAAATAAACACACAAACTCAATTTACYTTTTTCTTTGGCCAGGTCTGAGAYGGCTCTCCCCTCTGGCTCCTGCTTTGAGCCACCTGGTGGGGCAGCGAGGTTTACACAGACTAGCAGGAGAGAGAGAGGCAGGGCACACCAGAGAGTGGTCTTTTATTGGGGAACAAGAAATTTAGGGGAAAATTCCATCCAATGAAGGTCGAGGGGGACAGCATTCCAAGGTCAGGGTCAGTGATTGGTCTCAGGGTCAATGGTCAGTCACACCCCCACACGGATGGGCTCTCGCACCTGGAAAGGGTGGGGATTAGTTCTGACACAGTCCAGCCTGAACGCCTCACACCCAATCAGGGAGGTGCCCAATCACATGSGAGAACGGCTTCCCACAGGGATCCTAGATTGAAAACCATGGAAACATACCATGTGACTAACTTGTTCCAAATTGTTTCTAAGAGTAATGGCAATAGGTGGCATGAGAGAGCACATATTTTTTTCTCTGTTATCTCTATGTAAAAAATGATGTGTATCTTGAGAATATCTGATTCCATTGAATAAAGTTTGGATTTGAGCTATAGTTGTGACATCTGAACATATGAACTGGTATAATAAGCTTTAAAGACTTACCTACCTGCTTTGTAAATGATGGTGTACATTTTGGTTTTTGAACTTGAAGAGTGCCTCTAGCATAGTATTTCAGAATATGATGAGTGAGTCTATGATTTTATAGATGCTTGTTTGAAGATGGAAATTCTGCTCCCAACCCCCTTATCTCTCCAAACAAATTTTTCTTGTTAGTGTTAGTTAATAATAGGAATTTGTGATAGCTTTATAAAATAGAATTATATTGCTATTAATTCTGATACTGAGTAGAGATCTTGTCTTCAATTCTAAAATGTACTTTCTTGGGGGATTGTACCTTATCTGAATAAAGCTACATAACTTCCATTTCTTAAGGCATTTTGACTTTATAGCAAGGGATGAGGTTAGGTGACCTTGACTATAATTTGATGGTTTTTTTAAATGAAGTCACCTAACCTCTGGGTACCTCATGTGTCACACAAGATAATTAAAAACTAGCATGCTTCTTGAAGTTCAAAGAAAATGAAGTGAGATTAATGCTTTGGTGGGATACGTGATTTTTAAAATTTGGCACTATAGATGCTAAACTAAAGTATAGTCCTTCTTCCTCAGATAATCTGATAGTAGATGAAGCAGTACAGGAACTGAATTCCTTCCTCGTGCAAGAGAATATGAGGCTACAGGAACTGACAGACCTCCTTCAGGAGAAGCATTGCACCATGTCTCAGGAGGTATTTGATTAGAAAAAAGAGACACCTGTCTCTGTTGGCACTGGCAAATATTGACTCAGAATTCTGAGCACTTCAAGTTACTTTACACTTAAAACCTATTTTAATATTGAAGAGCATGCAGGGCAGGCATTCAGCTCTGAGAAATAACAATCTGAGGACAGGTTAAGGGAAGAAGAAAATAAGTGAATATTTCTCCTTGACTGTTACTATTTAAATAGACATAGGAGCTTCAGTCTTTGGGAAGAAATGCTGTCCTATAGGGTTTTGCAAAATGCAGGAAAAGTCCCAGACCCCAAATAATGGATTACTCCAAATAMAAAAGACTGTGAACAATGTTATTAAGGAATGGCTTGATAAAATTCAACAGAGAATTGGACAGTAGGATCTAGTGCATTGATGGTGTCCTGAGAACTTGGGGAATGTGAGTTTTTAGTCTTTTTAGTCCAAACTTGTGCCATGATCAAACCATGCCAAAAYTGAGCACTTAAAAGTCTCTTCTGATATTCCTGATTATCATTTTGTTTTAGTTCAGATGATGTTCTACTGATATGTGGCCTCCCTTGGTTTGGCCACTGAATTCTCATGATGATTAGTAATTTCATAGTTACCATTTACTTAGTATGTAGTATTTAAACATTTTATGAATATCATCTCTAATAGTAAAATAGCTTCCATTTTGCTGCTAAGGAAACAAATTCAGAAGATTAGTGACTGGTATGAGAGTAGATAGAATGTGATTGAGCTGTGGTTTGAATGTAAATTTGTTTTATTTCAAAGCCACATTTTTCATGTTTCCTAAACTCTGTGCTAAAGTCCATACAGGACTGGTTACATGAGAACCATCTGGTGAGTTTATTAATACATATGGTTCTCATAGAGCTTCTAAGGGGTTAAAGTATAGAAGCACTTACAAATAAATTGGAATATAGTAAGAAAATGAAATACATATCTATGCCACCAAGAGGGATAGTTCTTCCCTTTCCCAAATCTCAGATTACTAAATTGGAGGGCATGTAGTTTTGATCAACCCAGTTGATGTGCAAGATGGATCTCATGGCTGGCTACTGATGCTACCTGTCAGCTGCAGGCTTACCTTAGTTTCCCACTGGAATGCCTTCAGATCACCTCTCTTGCATGGCAGTCTCAGGGTAGTCGAAACTCTTAATGGCAGCTGACTTCTTCCAGTGAACGTTCTAAGAAAAACAAGCAAAACCTTCATGTTCTTTCTGACATAGCCTTGACACTTTGTAGAGTTATTTCCACTGAGTCACTTAAGTTGATACTAATTTGTATATCAACAGATTTAAGGTGAAGGATCAAAGATCCCACCTCTTGATTTTGTTTTTATATGGATTATCATTTGTGGAAAAGTAGGGAGAGAAAGTTGGGAGTAAATATAGTTGTCTTTTTTGAATTTTCATTTTCTAAATTGTCTGATAAAAATGAAGAATATTATCTTTTGTTTCTAAAAAATACATATTTTCTAATGGATTTGTGGTCTGTTAAGGGGAATGGTGCTTTTCAGATGTAGAGAAAGTATTGAATTTATTTATTTTTGATTATTGAATCTTAAGTGGTCTTTTATGTGAGAGTTCTTACAGATTTCTATAGTTTTCATAATTGTAATTGGCTCATAACTGTTAAAATGAATCTGCAGCTTCATTTGTACACTCATGCATTGAAACATCTTTTCGTAATTATACAAGCATTGGTTAATTTTGTGGGATTTAGAACTTAAGCTACTGATGTAAGGTATTTCTTTTCTAATTTGGTCTCTTTTTGCTGTTTTTCTGAATGCCCATCTTTGGGATGTAGTTCTCTAAGTTGCAGAGTAAAGTGGAGACAGCGGAGTCACGGGTATCTGTCCTGGAGTCTATGATTGATGATCTGCAGTGGGATATTGACAAAATTCGTAAGAGGGAACAGCGACTCAACCGACACTTGGCAGAAGTCCTAGAACGGGTCAGTGCTGGGYTTTTATGGTTTGGATACTAGAATCATTTTTAAGGAGTCTTTTCAGAAAGGATCAAGTTGGATAATGATGCTTGGGGGAAATAACTGATCCTTGAAAAGTACATTGCTTATCAGGCCAAAATTTAAGGTCACTTACTAAAGAATCTTTATCTTCTCTATAGGTGAATTCAAAAGGCTATAAGGTATATGGAGCAGGAAGCAGTCTCTATGGTGGCACAATCACTATCAATGCCCGGAAGGTAAAGTCAGTGACCCACTTAGGGAGCAGTGTTTGACCTGGTGTTATGTCTTATTCTCATTTGCTATTTCTCTGCTTCTCCAGTTTGAGGAAATGAATGCAGAGCTTGAAGAGAACAAAGAGTTGGCCCAGAACCGTCACTGTGAGCTGGAGAAACTTCGACAAGACTTTGAGGAGGTCACTACCCAGAATGAAAAGTTGAAGGTAGGAGGCATATCTCTGAAAAGCAGTAAAACCAGTACACACACACACACACACACATATATGAGTACACACACTTACACTTGTGAACCTGCATAATTTACTAGTGAAAAGAGGAATGTATTTCACAAAATTCAACATTTCTTCATGATAAAAACTCTAAACAAATTARGTATAGAAGAAACATACCTCAACATAGTAAAGGCCAGATATTATAAGTCCATAACTAGCTTCATACTCAATGGACAAAAGTTGAAAGTTTTTCATATAAGATTTGGAACAAAATTAAAGGTGGCCAGGTTCACCATTTTTCTCAACATGGTACTGGAAGTCCTAGCAAGAGCAGTTAGGCAAAAAGAAATAAAAGGCCTTTTCTGGTTGTGGTGGTACATACCTATAATCCCATGGGAGGATTGGGAGACTGAGGCAGGAGGATTCCAAGTGTGAGGCCAGCCTCAGCGACTTAGTGAGACCCTGTCTTAAAGCCAGTGTGTATGTGTGGGCCAGGAGAGTGCAGGGATTGTAGWTCAGTGGTACAGTGACCYTGGATTCAATCTTCAATTTCTAGTCCCATGAGGTGTAGTAAAAGGCCTTCAGATTGGAAAGGAAGAATTAATGTCTGCTTCTAGATGATATCATCTTTTAAATAGAAAACCCTGAAGACTTCATCAAGAAAACTGTAAGAGCTATAAACAAGTTCAGTAAAGTTGCAGGATACAAACTCAATATATAAAAATCCATTGTTTTAGTCAGCTTTTTAGCTGGTATAACCAGAAAGATCTGATAAGAACAATTAGAGGAAGAAAAGTTTATTTTGGAGCTCATGTTTCAGAGGTCTCAGTCCATAGATGGCTGACTCCATTCCTCAGGTCCTCCGGTAAGGCAGAACATCATGACAGAAGTGTGTGGTGGAAGATAACAACTGGGGACATGGCACCAGGAAGCAAACCAAGTGTTTGCTCGCCAGAGACAAAATATTTGCCCCAATGGTATGCCCTTCAGTGACCCATCTTCTCAAGCCATACCCTGCCTGCCTACAGTTGACACCCACTTAATCCCTATTAGGGGATTAATGCAGTGATTATGTTAAACCTTTCAGAACCTAATCATTTCACTTCTAAACTTTTTTGCATTTTCTCATGAGAGACTTTGGGGGACACCCAATATCTAAACCATAACAAGTTGTATTTCAATGAAAAGAAAGACTATGGAAACAATTTCATTTTATAATAGCATAAAAAAAAAGTACTTAGGAATAACTCTGACCAAAGAGGTAGGAGATGTATGTGTAYATTGAATGGATAAAGAAAATGTGGTATAGATACATCATGAAGTATTATTCAGAGTTAAAAAAGGAAACCATGTCATTTGTGACATCTGTGAACCTGGAGGACATTATACTAAATGAAAACAGGCCAGCCACACAAAACAAATATTGCATGATCTCCCTTATGTGTGGGATTAAAGAAGTGGAACTTACTTACACAAACTAAGTAGAATGGTGGTTACCAGGGGCTGGGAACTGGGGAYAATGGGAAGATGTTGGTTTAAAGGTAGAAAGTTTCAGTTGTGCAAGGTAAATTCTGGAGATTAAATGTATAGCTTGGTGATTATAGTTGATAATTTTGTATTTTGTATTTGAAATGTACTGAGAGTGGATCTTAAATGCTCTTACTACAAAAAAGGTAACTGAGATGATGGATATATTTATTAGCTTATCTGTRGCAATCACTTCATAGTGAATACATTTATCAAAACATACACTCTAAATATATACAATCTATTTGTTGATTATACCTTAGTAAAACTGGGAGAAAAAAACCTAATTTACATATTTACCTATTATCTGCAACTTGCCTTGTTTTGAAAAGAATTTAAAGCAACYTATAAAGATCTAAAGAGTAATCAGCGTGTTCTAATTTAGGAATTATTGAGGAAAATGAAGAATAGGGTAAAATAGAGTGAGAATTTAAAATAGATGTTAAATTGAGCCTTTATAAGGTGTATAAAAGAAACATGTTTAGACTGTGGAGGATAGGCATTCACGTGTCATTTTTTGCCAAAGGCAGGCCACAGACTTGGCTCTGTAGTTTCTTGCTGCCAAAACAAAGGCAGAAACATGGTCAGTGATCCTGTTGGTTTTCAGACCTGCCCATTAGAATTTTCCCTCTTCACCCTCTTAGGGGAAGAAAGAAGATTCTGGAAGTTTTTCTTATACCTCTTTCAACCATAGCCATCTGTTTTTTTATAATTTAATTTGTTTCAGGGTTAAGAATAAAGATGTTTGAACTGAAGAAACAAAACAAGTTAAATTAATGAAAGTGGCTAATTAAAGCACATAGTTGCTTAAATGAATAATTGTTTTTGCTACCATGGAATTAAAAAAAATTTTTTTCCTATCACTGGGGATTGAATCCAGGACCTCATGCATACTAGATAAGTACTCTATCACTGAGCTATATCCCTATCCCTTATTTTTGTTACCATGTCAGAAATATTTCTCTGTGACTATAAAGAGAAGAAGTTAGTGACTGGGATACTTAACTATGTTTTTAAAGGAACCATCCTGGCAGATTTCATAGGACCCTTCTGGTAGCTCTTCTTCTATCTTTGGATCTAGATTGAAACAATGTAAGACACWTATCAAACAGTCCTGAGTGATCTATAATTTGGGATAGATTTTACAAAAAGAAAGGAGAGATAGACTTCATAATCTTCATAATAATTGTTTCACTTTTGCAGGACCTTCAGTGAGTTTGGTGATTTATTTTCTATATATCTAGCATCTTGCTCACATCTGCTAGATTGTGCTTCTGACTTGACTTTCCTTTGGGTCCTTCTAAGGTGGAATTGCGGAGTGCAGTGGAGGAGGTGGTTAAGGAAACTCCAGAATATCGTTGCATGCAGTCACAGTTCTCTGTTCTGTACAATGAGAGCCTACAGTTGAAAGCTCACTTGGATGAGGCTCGGACCCTGCTTCATGGCACCAGGGGAACCCACCAGCGCCAGGTTGAACTCATTGAGGTAACAGCACTGCTTTGTTTTCTGTAATATATGTTTTTCTACCTCATAAAGTGTCATAGGTTTGCTCTCTCTCATGCTGTTAATCTCTCATCCATTYAGCAAACATGTATAGAATGCCTATTGATCTCCGTTAGATGGTGGGCATATAAAGATGAGGTAACAGAATTCCTGTCTTTAAAGATCTTATAGTCCCCTGGGAGAATAGTATCCATTCATTTGSAATGTGTACAATAGCAGCATATCTAAAAGGTACAGTAATGGAGGAGACAGAGCATATGATTTGACTGTGGAACCTTCTTGATTCTACTTGAGAAGGTGAAGTGCAAATCTTAAAGATATATAACTTTACTAGTAGTTAAAAGTAGGAGWATATTCCCAGCAGTGAGATCAGCATGTTTGAGAATGTGAAAGAGCATGACAAGTAGTTTCAAATGGCTGGAGCTTATGTGTATGAGGAAGCCATGGGTGGAAACTTTTGTTTATATGTTCTTTTTTTTACCATAGTCCTTAAAATAATGTTTTAAATAGTTGGTTTTATTATATATGTCAGCCAAATTAATTACTACTACTGTATAGATTTTTATATATTGTTTTATGGTTGAGGTCTCTAACTAAATTGTAATATTTTCATAGATGAAGCCCATTTCCTTTCTTTCTTCACTATCCTGCCAGTTTCTAAATTAATGTTTTGAAGCTATCTAACGTTATTGGAAGTGGAAATATTCTGAGTAACCTATTTTTTCCATATCATATTCTTTTTTCTTTTTAAATCTTGTAGGTCAAATTTAGGAGACAAAATAATAGGATGTGATATTTCCACTTTATNTTGCTCCACCCTGCAGTTTTGTCTGTAAATATATAAAGGCCTTTCTTGAAAGACACAACTTGGTTCCAGGATTTGTTAATACTAATTTCAACTCAGAAGTCCTAAAGTACCTTGAATAAATCCTGTGATTCCTTTTGACACACAGCCCAAGTATTTTTTTTTTTTWAACTCTAATTGACCAGTTTCATTTTCACTTTCTGAGAAAGAATATTTTTTATGGTAATTCTCTCTGTTTTTCAGAGCATCYTCATGTGTTCTGCATTTTTTCTCCTTTTGCCTTTACCCTCATTACAGTTTCTCTTAACATTGCTATTGCTGTGTTTAAGGCCCTATAAACCGGGAAATGCGCCACCTTATCAGTAGCCTCCAGAATCACAATCACCAGCTGAAAGGGGAGGTCCTAAGGTATAAACGGAAGTTGAGAGAAGCCCAGTCTGATCTGAACAAGGTAAGGAGGAATAGAATAAGTATCACTAGCTRTTAAGTTTGTGAAGCTTTTTGAGTGAGGTGAGAAATGTGGCTATCATAAGTGATATGTGTTTTTTCTTTTTTTCTGTTTATCCAGACACGTCTGCGCAGTGGCAGTGCCCTCCTGCAGTCTCAGTCTAGTACAGAGGATGCCAAGGATGAACCTGCAGAGTTAAAACAAGATTCTGAGGACTTACCAACCCAGTCCTCAGCACTGAAAACCTCTCAGGAGGATGTCAATGAAATTAAATCCAAACGGGATGAGGAAGAGCGAGAACGAGAAAGGAGGGAGAAAGAAAGGGAGCGAGAAAGAGAACGAGAGAAGGAAAAGGAGAGAGAACGAGAGAAGCAGAAACTGAAAGAATCAGAAAAAGAAAGAGATTCTGCTAAGGATAAGGAAAAAGGAAAACATGATGATGGAAGGAAAAAGGAAGCAGAAATTATCAAACAATTGAAGATTGAACTCAAGTGAGACCAATATGTAGAGTGACTATTTCTGACTCAGAACCTTAAGGTTCAGACATCAAGAATGAAATGAAATGTTTGGTTGATGGTAGAACCTGTCTGATCATTCTAATATTTTAGATGTAACTAAATGCACCAATTAATGTGGTCTCAATTCGATCAAGAGTGGCCTCCCTGGCTATTGTGCAGTCTAGTTGAGTGGTTAAATAACAATAAACCCTGTGGTTTGGTCCTTCATTAATGTGAAGAGAAGGGATATCATAATGCAGCAACACTTGAGAATCGTTCTAAATAATTAGATTTAAGTGATTGCTGGAATTAATTGTAGTTTAAATTATACTAAATGGAGTATACATTGCTGTAACTTAAACAGTATCTGATTTCTTGACAAACTAGTTTGTTGGTATGCCAGATCATAGTAAGAGATTTCTTAGAAGATTTATTCCTACAGCAATTGAAATAGTGAGATAGATCATTTTCATATATTGGTGTTTCTGCCACCTAACTAATAATTTATCTGGCAGTACATTTAGCTCTCCAGTTTCTGTGGTASAGTCTTTGTTAATGTTTGAGGGACCACTGTACTCAAAATACTTGGACTCGAGTAGTTAAAAGGTTTAATAATTTAGTAAGAAGTGAAATGTTAGTGTTTAGTTGGTGGCTAATCAGCTGTGAAGTCTAGRATTAGTTTATTTTAAACTTTCAATTTTTGTCCCTTTTTCTTCCTATTGATCCACTTTAACGTAGACTTTTTTTTAATAAGTGTCATATTAGAATCATCTTAGTGACTTATTTGAATACATCCGTGGATCCCATTTCAATCCYATTGAGTCTCAGTTTTTAAGAGTGGGAACACAGAAGTTTGTCTAATGTAATAAATGTAACAAATCTTTATTTTAAAACTTTGTAGAGAATTTAAGGGAGAAATGGTTCATTTATACAACTTTTCTGTACTTCTCAACTATATTCAGAAGTCTACTGATATTCTGTATAATATTATTTTTTTTAGTTACGACCTAGAATATTAAAAAAAAAAAAAAAAACAAAACCTTAAAATATTCTGCTCAATTCCAAATTCCCTTGCTCTGATATGGCCTTTGTTTTTTCATTCCTGTTCCCCTCCCTCTGCCACCTCTATCATAGGAAGGCACAAGAGAGCCAAAAGGAGATGAAATTGTTGCTAGATATGTACCGCTCTGCCCCGAAGGAACAGAGAGACAAAGTTCAACTAATGGCAGCAGAGAAGAAGTCTAAGGCAGAGGTAATCTAGTCTTCCTGTTAAAATTTTAATTTCTAGGGTTCATACTATTGAAAGATATAGTTTCTTTGTCTTAGAGGTAAGTGACTAATTTAGCAACATTTTCTTATCAAAGACCATCTAAACTAGAGATTTTAAGGTTCTCTGAAAGATAGTAAGATTTCAGAATTACTGGCATAGTAATAATTTAATAATAAGAAGTTTYAAAAATTTTTTATTCTCCGCTGAATGAATCATACTGTAGTTATTCTCTTTTTTCTGACTACTTTTTGGGAGGAAATTTTTTATACTTTTATTTGTTGAGGACTAAGGGTGGGGGGAAAGGTTGATAAACTCTGTTATAATATTTATAGTTCTCAAAAACGTTGCTCATGAAATTGAGGAATGGCATGTTGTTAAAACAGTGTTGTGATGTGCCGTACTGGATCATTTTTCATTATTATTTATTTTGTTCCAGAATTCTGCAAAAATGGTCTTGTGGTATATTGGGCTTTCCATCTTGCAAAGTGTTAATTGATTTTTTTTTAAAAAGAATTATAACTTTATTTTTATGTAATTTTTCTTCTATAGTTGGAAGATCTAAGGCAAAGACTCAAGGATCTAGAAGATAAGGAGAAGAAAGAAAACAAGAAAATGGCTGATGAGGATGCCTTGAGGAAGATTCGGGCAGTAGAAGAGCAGATTGAATACCTGCAGAAAAAACTGGCCATGGCCAAGCAGGTGGGCACACTTTCTTTATTTAATTGACTTTTTAGTAAATGTTACTTGACAGGGAAGTTACTGCCAATGAAATTTGCTTTTATTCTAGTCATTTTTTTTTGTTTTGTTTTGTTTATTTGTTTTTACATTGAAGACTTTCATTCCTGTAGTATTTTCTGTGTTTGAGAGGCAGAAAAATTTATTTTCAGAAGGATTGTCAGTTGTTTTAACTTCATTTATAAAGGGTCTATTCTTTTTCTGCTGTTGTGGAGTTAGGAGATATAGTGAATATAAAATGAAAACGAGATATAATTTTTTTTATATATTATGATAGTAAATATATAAAACTAACAAAAATATGCTTCCCAATTAGGTTACAAAAGACTAATATGTTGATTGTGGTTGTGGAATCTGTTTTTCTCATAAAGAATGCATTTATTTATTTTTAAAGTCCCAGGAAATTTTTATTAGCATTTGATAATAAAGATACACAAATGATGGGAAAAACCATATATCACTGTTAAGTACTCCCYCACTGTTTCCAAGAAATAGCAAAATGACAGTAGTTTTAAGGATAACTGGATTATTAACATCAAGTTTCAATAGGTAAAATAGCTTGGGATATCAGAGAAAGAACTGAATAAAAATCCAGAAATAAACAGAAGTCCATGTGGGTATTTAATATACACTAACAATATAGTTTTAAATCATTAGGGAAAGGAAAGAATGTTAAATGTGGTGGGACAAAAATGAAATAATATTGGAAAAAAGTTGTATACATACTTGAACACTATGCTAAGATGATTTCCAAATGGATCCAAGATATCATATTAAAAAGATAAATCCGGGGCTCCGATTGTAGCTCAGTGGTTGAATGCTTGTCTGGCATACGTGAGGCACTAGGTTCCGTCCTCAGCACCACATAAAAAAATAAAGTGAAGAAGTTGTTGTCCATCTACAACTAAAAAAAAGTATTTAAAAAAAAAAAGAGAGATAAATCTACCAAAGAATAAGAGGAAAACATGTAAATTTTGTAACTATTAAGGAAAGTCCAGAACACGTGAAAGGAAAATTGATAATTTTGAGTAATGACAAAAAAGAAGACACAAAAATTGTAAATGGCAAAAACATTGTTACTAAAGCCAACAGATCAAGTGAGAAAAAGGAAAAAAAAATACTTTTATCTCTTATCAAAAAAGGACTTGTCTTTCTAATACATATTTWAAAAAATTCTGAAAAATAATAGGGAAAAAAACCAACAACCCAGTAAAAGAATAGGCAAAAGATATTAATGGTTCACAGAAAGAAACTCAGATTGCTTTAGTCTTAATTAAAATGAGACAAATGTAAATTAAAGCTATTGTTAGGTACCATATATCACCTAGCTGAAAATTCTATAGATTAAATTCAGTATTATAAGTTGTGGAAAATTATGAGAAAATGTGAGGCTTTATGATAGAAGTTTTTTTTTTTTTTTTAACCCAAGTGCTACTTGATAAGTTTGCTAGATTAAGGTATGTGTAGTTATTATTTGCTTTCCTGGCTTAAGTACAGACCAACTAATGAATATCAGACCAAAAGTTGGTGCCAGTGATTTCAAGTAATAGGGCTTCTTCTGTATCTTCAGGRAACTTAGTTACAACACAAAGCTTRAGTTTAGTCTTAAGCTAAGTCTGTCTCTGTCACTAAGTTAACAGTGGGAAAGTTTAATTTCCTATGTTCATTCTTTGGAGTTAGAACATTCTCCTTATAAGATTTCTCATTTTAGGAAGAAGAAGCTCTGCTCTCTGAGATGGATGTCACAGGCCAAGCCTTTGAAGACATGCAGGAACAAAATATCCGTTTGATGCAGCAGTTGCGAGAAAAGGATGATGCAAATTTTAAACTCATGTCAGAGCGTATCAAGTCTAATCAGATCCATAAATTACTCAAAGAAGAGAAGGAGGAACTGGCAGACCAGGTTTTGACTCTGAAGACTCAGGTAATTAGGATGAGTGGAGTTTTCCATTCTGTTGATGTAAGATGCTTTCAGTATGAAGATATCTGTCAAATGGTCATTGTGGCATTTTGTATGATGTTAAAAAATCCCCTGCAAACCAAGTGTCTATTATTAGGGCACAGGTAAATAAATTATACGTGTCTACAAAGGAGTACAATATAACTGTTAAAGCACATGAATTTGCTGATGTGGATAAATTTTTAAAATATATCAAGTGATTTATTTTCTCTTTTGTATTAAAATGTGTGTATGAGTGTGTACTTTTAAAATTTCTGGAAGCCTACAGGGAAGCTGTCAGTGCTTACCTAGCTACCTCTGGATTTTGAGTTTGTGGGTGAAAGGTTCTGAAGTGGATGTGTGATTTTACATTTTATCCTTTAATATTATTTAATTCTACTTTATGCATTAATTTCAAGAAAAAGACTACATTAGAATCTCTAGTTATTCTGAGGGAGAGGAATGGTTGAACTTTTATTTGAGCTAAAATTTATATGTTCTAGTAGGAATTGTCAGGTTTTGAGGACTGGTATGGCTGCAGAAGATCAATATCTGTAAGTGTAATTTTATCTATTCTTGGCAATTTGGRAAAGAATTGCTAAGATTCTTTAAAAGACTTTTAGTGGTTTCAGAGACTCTTATTTAAATCTCATCAGTATTTTATATCAAAGAGAAGTCTTTACTAATAATAAGTCTTGATTTTTTTTTTTTTTAAACCCCGATAGTAGGGATTGAACCAGAGCTTTGAGCATGCTATGTCAGCACTCCTGCATACCAGTTTACCTCCCCGGCCCTCTTGGATATATTTTGAAGGGTTCATGGATATAATGAGTAATAGTTTGTTTCTAACATTCTATATATTTCATGGACTATGAGTTAAAGAAAGCATAGCCAGTTTTATTTTTCTTCCTGTTTATGTTAATGTCTGATTTTCTCCTCCAAAGGTTGATGCCCAGTTACAGGTAGTAAGGAAACTGGAAGAGAAGGAGCACTTATTGCAAAGCAACATTGGCACAGGGGAGAAGGAGCTGGGTCTTAGGACCCAAGCCTTGGAGATGAATAAACGTAAGGTATGATGGATTATTTTGTAATCTCAAGTCAGGGTCCATCTTGAGAAGCAAGTGTGTATAACCTGGATGAAATTTTAAGTTTCACTTCATTTTTAAGTGAAATTTTAAGTTTCCACTTCATTCCTTGAACTTAGGTTAACATTTTGCCTTGCTTGAAATCGGGTGATAGGATGATGTTATTTGTACATCTCACACAGGCAATGGAGGCAGCCCAACTTGCAGATGAACTCAAAGCACAACTTGAGTTGGCGCAGAAGAAGCTCCATGATTTTCAGGATGAGATTGTGGAGAACAGTGTCACCAAAGAAAAGGACATGTTCAATTTCAAACGAGCCCAGGTAAGAGCAATTCTCTTTTCCTTACATTTCAACTTTTAGGTGTTTTCTGAGGTCTGAAGTGACCATGAAATGAGCCATTAGTCTAATGTATATTATTTCCAACTAGACTGTAAGTTCCTTGTGGGAGAAGACTGAGTTTGTTTTCTTCAGYGTCATATTCCCAAAGCCTGTTATGTCCATCAGCTAATCAGCATGAAATAAATATTAGCTGTGTGAACTAGTGAATTTTTAAAGTAGCATATCAACACGAAATTTTAAAGTTCTCTAATTTTTCTATTTTTTGTCATGTCATCTATTTTTCATGATTTTTTCTGTCCTTATCCACAAGCTGTAAATTATTTTAATTCCATTCTACCCTTATCTTAAAACTAGTTGCCACAAAATAAGATGGCCTATTTTCTAAATTGTTAGATTATGTTTTCACAGGACTGAATTGACAGTAATTGAAATAACTAATTTGGGGATATGGTTATGGTTGTCTTTTCTGAAACAAAAGAAAATATCTTACCCTTTGTAGTTCTCTGTATTCCTAAATATAAATTGGACATGAAAGAACAAAAGGTTCTTTCTTTCCATGTTAGCAAGTTCAAGTTGTAGGAAATATTTTCTCAAAAACAGCAGGTATGTCTGAGGAAATGGGTCTAATGGGTCTGCTATCTTGCCATAGGAGGACATCTCGAGACTTCGAAGGAAGCTGGAGACCACAAAGAAACCAGATAATGTGCCCAAGTGTGATGAGATTCTGATGGAGGAAATTAAGGATTATAAGGTTAGAAATACTGCCTCAGTGATTTCTTTGATTTTGGTTAAAATCTGAATTGGTCTACTGATATATTGGGGGAATAAACACTGAAATTCTTTACATGAAGGTAACCAGACAGTGGTTTATTTTAAGTGGAGGTGTGGGAGTGGTACTCTTGTTCTAGTTCTTTGTGGTTGGTTTGTTTATATATGATAGTCATTTGGTTCTTAAACCTTTATGGTTATTCAGACTCTGATTTCCTTCTGTTTTAGGCTCGTCTGACCTGTCCATGCTGCAATATGCGCAAAAAGGATGCTGTACTTACCAAGTGTTTTCATGTTTTCTGYTTTGAGTGTGTGAAAACACGCTATGACACCCGCCAGCGCAAATGTCCCAAGTGTAATGCTGCTTTTGGTGCCAATGATTTTCATCGAATCTACATTGGTTGATTCAAGTCAAGAGAAGAAGAGGAGCTGGCTAGACAGGCACTTATTCATTAACCACCAAACCTCTACCTCTTCTCACCTTGACAGTTTATCTGTCAACTCCCATTCCTCCATAGACTTTACGTCCAGGCTCTCTGCTCAAATAGCTAGATGACTTTAGGGGAAAGGATTGGTAAATGCAAGCCTTGGGTTATAGAATGAATTAGAAACAAATGAAGAAACAGTTGACTCATATTTGACCCATATTTGTCTTGCCTATCAGCTTTATTTCCAGCTTTTAGACTTTTCAACATTTTTGGGCAGAGGTGGGCCCATTGTATCATCTTGGATTATGCATTCCTCCAAAAGAAATCAAGTTGGTATTTTTGACAAGGAGAAGGGAACAAAGACTGGAAATGTGTTATTTTGAGGGAGTGGCCTTTAAGAAATAAGCTATCTGTGGGCACATACTTTTCTTAATTTGGGTAGTTAACTTTTTCTAAACTTGAATTATAAAATGATATAATTGCGCTATTCTTTCCTGGATGGTTTGAAACCTTAATGAAATTATATCCAGGATAATTTAGTCCATTTCCCATTTACTTGCAAAATAACTTTTAAGGTCAGCTGGCTTTCTTACTAAGTTATTTAAGTTTCAAATGTTCAACATCTAAAAGTCTTTAAATTTCTTAAGGCCAGAATAATTTCAAGTAATATAGACACTTTTGCCTTCTAATGAAATAAAAATTGGAGATGAGGAATAGAACTGAAGTGGTAAAGAGACCTTCTGGGTATTCTGGGAAATTGATACAGAGAGGCTTTGGTGAGCTATGAATTTACTCTCAACCTCCTCTCAATAGGAGTTTTGTGAKCCCTGTTTTCCAGAAGATTCTGTATAATCTTTCTGTAGGACTTTGTACTCTACAAGCTTCAATTAAAGCAGGATTCAGTTTGTTTTTGTGTTAGTGGTTTTTCTTTGAAATTTTATTCTTTGTTATTACTAGTAGATTTTACACATGCTGTTTTAGAAATGAGTTTTCTTAACAGAAATGAGATTTAGAAGCTGCCTGAGTTTTAAGTATTTATTTCTTTGATTATTSAAAAAGTTTTCTCCCAGTTTTATTGAGTCTCTTCTGAGGAGACATCATGCCTAAAAGATGTCAATTTGGCTAAATTTTTTTTCCATCATTCACTGTGGGGTAAGAGATTGAGGTTTATTTCTCAGGGAATGTCACACTGCCTGGCCCTTTAGGTTGAGGGTTCTTGTTTTATAGTAATAATAAGCTACATGGTTTCTCTCTTCTGTAAGGAGTTGTATAAAATGTATCCCTTTTGAGCATTACCTGTCCTAGATGATGATTAAGGACAAATTCTATGTCTCTTTGTAGTTACTAGCTGCCATCAGCAGGACTTGTGATGGATTCCATAAAGGCATATGATATATGGGCTAAGAAATGAACCTAATTGGGGAATCTTACATGGTCTTCAAAATAGGTCACAAATCTGTTGATCATCCCACCCAACACATGTACAGGGCCATGATTGATGAGGTGAGGCTCTGCTCCTGTACATACTGTGCCTTGGCACAAATGGACTACTAGGGSAGCAGGTTGTTTAGAGTTGGATATTAGCTATTTATGACAACTGGCTGAGAAAATCAGCTGCCCATCACTGAGGGATTGTGGGGCTTGTGAGATGTTGTAGAGGGAAGCACTGATTCCATGGGAGGCTTGATTTAGAGACAGTTCCTCTGGTTGAGAAGTTGAGGTCCAATCAACATAAAGTGAGCTCTCAGTCACTTTCAGATAMTGACCAAAAATGGTGGTGATTTTTCTGGCAGTCCAGTTTATCTCACTCCAGAAGAGAGTACTGAATGGGCTTTGGGAACCCCCCCCCCCCAAATTGCACATTAAATTGTTTTGAGTTATATGTACAATATCTTTAGTGTTTTTTTTTTTCTGATTGTTAAAGGAACTTGGAAAATTCATAGGCTCCCCAAAATTAGAAATTWAGCTCTAGATCCATAAGAACATTATAAGAATAATTTCTTTAATGCCTATAAATGCCAATTTCAAAGATTATTATAGAAGCACTGAAACTTCTCAATTTAAAATAAAAAAAACAATTCAGATCTTGTATGAATTATCTTTTTGCTTTCCTTTTTTGTTACCTTGGAAACATCTTAGCAATTTTGACCAAAATTAGGTGCACTCTAAGGCATGTCAGTTAACAACGTGATTTAGTTCTTCTTTACTGTAGAGATCTTTTTCAAAGATGTTGAGCTGAGTCTACTAACTATAGCATTCTTCATGAATCRCCATTGGATTTCTTGTTTTTTCTTATTCTCTGTCCAGATACATAGGCATCCAGATACATAGGTTCTTTAAGGGCAAGAGTTTTGCTTATGGAATAATGTTTCTGCCATTCCAGTGATGAGTATAATTTGATATTGTGAAGAAAATAAAGAAACCATCATGTGTCTTCTAAACCCACGGGGATGGAGACACTTTTTTTTTTTTAGGAAGCTATAAGCTTGACTCTATTCTCATTATCATTTGCTATTGTGGAATGCCTTTAACTTTAATTTCTTAAGTTTTTTTTTTTTTTTTTTTTCCTGAGGACTCTTAGTTGATTGATGGTAAACTCAAGTCCCAATGGGTCTGCAGTAACATTTTGACTSCTTACTATCACAAAAGTATTCCTGATTGACTTATGATAAAACAGTTACATGAGAGTAAATAATAGAACATTGGTAGGTTTTGTGTCAGTTGCATTGGACTTACCCAGCAGGACATTCTTTGCATGGAAATACTTGAAAATATCCTAGATATTAAGGCTTGGGATAGTAGTTGTCCCATTACAAAGGAAAATTAAGCTTTCTCTTCTASGGATTTCTGTGCAAGTTTGGTTTCTTCCTAATACTAGCTATTAAATTCTTATTTATAGAAGGCCTCACAATTACTGAAATTTATTTGAAAAGGACAGTGTCTTAATCTAGTCCCCAACATCTAGCAGAGGCACATAGTACTCAGTAAAGGTTTCCATGATCTGAGTTAATTTGGCTCTGTGCTTCTGCTCCTAGATCTTGAGAAGTCGGCTTTGTTGGGCTGTTTTGTGTATTCAGATTTTATTATTTCTTTTTTTCAATCTCTCTAGTGGAAACATCCTTTCCTTATATAKTGAAATAAGTCTTCAAAATTGATTTATCCTGATATTTATGACTGCATTTAAAATTTATTTTATGGTGGTAAAAAAAGGAATTAGTATGAATTCTGAGACTGAACCTTCYCTAGAGGCAGCCCACCATAGCTGAAGCTTCTCTTATTCTAGGTTAGCCTTTTTTTTTTTCTCCTTCTTCTTTTATAAGGAAAGTTGTGGACAAAAATTGGAACAACAGTATATCCCCATTAATATAATAATGCTAAACTCAGGATTTCAGATTATTGAAATCTATGGAGTGAAAAGATTTGAAAGTTAGGATGTGAAAGCAGAAAGGGATCTTGGGCCTTGTCTTTATTTTAGAGACAGGAAAATAGGCTTCAGGGTCACTCTGCTGAGTCACAAAATTGAAATGCGATTATCAGACCTTTACTTTTCTTTCTTTTATACTAAGTGGAAACCCATACTAGTATATTACTTGTCATCAGGAAGATAAGAAATGAAGGTTTTTCTGAGTAATTCTGAAGTTTTTCTGAAGACTTTCATAAACCCAGCATATTTATCCCAGCGTGTTTATCTAAGGCAGACCTCAGATTGGGACTACTTTTTGTTTCTGTTTAGACATAGAGTTCCAGTAGCACATCTTGTAGAGCAAAATTGAACCATAGCRATCTTAGATTTCTTCCTGCTCTCTCATATTGTGCCTTTGTTGAATGTTTATTGTGATTCAGCACTATGTTAAATGTATTTCTTATGAAGTCAAACTTTCTTGCAAATGGCTCTGCCTCTTGTTATCAAGTTATTTTGCCTCCTTGCTTCAGTTTCTTCATCTKTTAACTATTGACTACATCATAGGATTGTATTGAGGATGAAATGAATCATATGTGGGAGATATTCATTCAGTACAATGCTTGGCATCCTCTGAGAAGTTAATTTTTCTTTCTATCGTCATTTTCATTCTGTTTCTGGGAAAAAAAATAAGACTGACATCCTCTCTGAAATCCACATGGATTTATCTGTGCCTGTATCTCTAGTCTCTCTGTTCTGTTTAAATGATGTCATGGCTAAGTAATTCCAAAACATCAAAAAGCTAACTTTGCTCACATGTGAGTGACAACCAGCTCCACCTAGTGATGATGATCCTATCTTCTAATGTGTCCCTCCTGAGTAAAGTTCCCCAGTTCCTTGTTTGCCATGGTTTCCCAACTCTAGAACTTTTCATATGCTGTTTCTTTTACTTGAAATGCCTCTTAACTCTACCCAGTCTCTCCACTCTTCTTCTCCACCTTCTACACGTTAAGTGCTGTCTTTATTCCCGTAGCATTTCTTTTCTTTTTTGGTGTTATTGGGGATTGAATCCAGGGGCCCTTTTTATTATGAGATTGGGGCTCTCATTAAGTTRCCTAGGCTGGCTTTGACTTGTGATCCTCCTGCCTTATTCTCTAGAGCTATTGGGATTACAGGCATGTACCATTATATCTGGTTCTTTACGTTCGTTTCTTTATCAGAGTACATACCACATTATGCTACCAGTTTGTGTCATCCACACTAGGCTGAGCTCCATGAGTCCATGGGATCAGAATCTACTTTTGTCTTTTTATTACAGCTAACCCAATTCCTGGCTCATAATAGGCATCTAAAAAATGGGTAACTTAATAATGTAAAACATTCTTGAGTAAATTGTTATAACCAAATCAAATCTCAAATTAGGTTATAGTGGGTTCAAATTTTTATGAGATTTGATTTGGTTGTAACAATATGTGTGAAGACTGTATCAGTCTAGCATATTCATAACAGTAAGTCTGTCAGTAGCTAAAATGATTGTCAGAAGCTACAAACATGCCTGAAACTGCAGGACTGCTGAGCGATTTGCAACCATCTTTATACCAGTTTTCAGTTAGAGTAGAAAACTGAAATTACAGGTGCTAAAACATTACTTTTGTAAAACTATAGGGGCTACAGTCTTGAGTTAAATGGATCAATGTAGGTACAATCACCAGTTTCCCTCTCTGTTCTGTGGAGTTGAGGACAGTAAAACAGACTAAGGGGGCATTGGGAAGAGGAAGAGTAAGGCAATGATCAGAATTCTGACAAAATGGTATGTCTGCACTGTCTACCTAAAAGTCTCTATGCTACTATCACCACTCTGTGACCTTGGGCAAGTTAAGTAATTTCTCTGACTCATTTTTTCACCTGTAAACTAGAGGTCTCTCTTATCTACATCTGAAGTACCTATCTCATGGGATTATAATTTTTTTTAATATTTATTTTTTAGTTTTGGGTGGACACAGTATCTTTATTTTACATTAATGTGGTACTGAGGTTGGAACCCAGTGCCTCATGCATGTTAGGCGAGCACTCTCCACCACTGAGCCACAACCCCAGCCCCTGGGATTGTAATCTTTAAGATTAAATGAGATCATTATTATAAGTGCYCAGTAAATGTTAGCTTTATAGTTTTTTCTGTTTAAAAATGGTGAGAGGATCAATTGTGAGAAGGCCTCTGACATTAAGAGATCATACTGCCTCAGTCACTACTGCAGCTCCAGCACTTGGCCTGCATATGGAGGCTATTTAGCAAATGTTTGTTAAATTACTACATAAAGACAATTATGGCAGAGTTTTTAGAGATCTGTGAGTATTGTGTTCTTTCCTAGCCTATCTCTGGCTCATGAAGCACTTCACTTCTACTGCACAGTACTTGGATTTTTGAGTTTTCTTAATACTTCTTGTGTTAACTTTGGACTATACCAAGAAAACAAATATAACTCATTCCTATTAGGAAGAACTGGTGTCTTATCAACACTTAAATCCCCCAAGAATGGCAGCAATGAGGTTTCTATCTGAACATTTATTCCACAGTCATAGAAACTGAAGATGGAGAAGACCTGAGGACATCTTGTCCATCCGTGTTGTTGTACAAGAAAGCGGCTGGAGCAAAACAGCCTGTTCACTTGATGCTCACAAGACAGCTTTTGGTTCTTGGAGCATAGGGATTGCACACATTAAAATGAAGACACAATGCAAATACTCTTCACAAACCTTCAGAAAATACTTATAATTACATTATTTTCATAAAATGATCAGTAATTAAGAAGAGTGAGGGAATCCTGGGTTAGATGGGCGTTTGAGGTGGGTGAAGAAAGAGTAACTGAACAATGCAGATAGTGGTTTTAATGACTAGAACGCAATTTCCTTGGGATTTTCTGGTTTGCGTATCAAAACATAAATTGGGAGGAAAAGAGGTTTTAAAGTAGTTTCTTTTCCCTTTATTCTTTGTCCACACCAAGGAAGTGCTTAACTTGCTCCAGGGCTCAGACAGACCCAGCACCAACACTGAGACAGATCATAGCACTGTTGCACTGGACTCTTGTTCCACTTAGCACTTCTTGGGCTGACAGGGAAACAGCAGCTCCTTATAGGGTTTGTGCATCAGCAAGATTCATGAATAATTAGGAGTCTCCTCCACGCACATTAAAGACCTCAACTGATTTGGTTCTGTGGCTAGCTGCCTCACTTGGCTGTCCCAATCTTTCTTCCAATCTATTTTTATTTATTGGAGAAATCGCCTTTCTCCTTTACTTTGTGGCATAAACGCTTTGGGGCCCTTATTAYTTATATGAACCAAGAAGACATCCATTTCAGCTTGCCCAGTATGCTGTATGTGCTTCCTGTGCCAGGATTTCCCCTTTGGAGGATGGGACATGTACCAGGTTTCCCAGCACCAGAGCTTGGAAGAGAATAGAAGTCTTCCTGATCTCATGAAATGGAAGCCAATGAGAGGAGGCAAGGTAGCTAGCATCTCTTAGCTCTTTCTAATTTACCAAAATGCAACCCTCCACCTGAAGTACTTAAAGTCTTCTGATCTTTGTTGTTGGGTCTTTTTTTTTTTTYYTTTTTTTTTTTTTCTGAGCCTGAGGAGGGAATTTGAGAGAAGAGAGGTGGAATAGAACAGAAGAGTTTCAAGGACCCACCATTTCATGAAGTCTTTTTACAAAACACAATACACTGTTTCACAAATTGCAAAACACTTTTCAATTACTACCATTTAAAAAACCATTGCTACTGAACATGAAGACTGCTTCATTTCAACACAAGCAATTATGGTTTTTCTTTACCCAAGACTTGGGAATATTTTAAGCAATATTGACAGCAGTAAGCCTGCCTTTGCCGCCTGCTGCTTCTCACTGCATTTTGGCCACAATTTTGGCCAGGTACTTCCTCAGAAGGTACTTGAGAAGTATGCACTGGTCCTCTACTCTGTGGATAGGGTGGTATGATTGCCACCGCTCAGAATGCCTCAGTAGAGAAACTTAAGGTAAACCTGATATACAAAAATCCAAACTTACAAAACAGATACATTAAGGGATAATTAATTGCATTACAAAAGGATTCTTTACAAAAGAATTCACCTCTGGGTTCCCTTAAATAGCTTCTCAAGTACAGTCACCATATGAGTTGAGTTACAAAAATGTCCACATACATTAGGARCATGGCTGTTAACACGAATTGAGGTACACCTGTACATCAGCCTTCCATGCTGCACAGATATCCAGGGGTGCTCGGAGTATGGCGGCAGAATCTTTAGGTATCCTTGTTTGTCAGAAATGGGTGGGGATGGCTAAGGGGCATGATCTTCAAAGGCAGCTATAAACCTACTTTTGAGCATAGGGTGGGGTTGTGGGGAAAGGGAAGATACTTTAAAGCAAATTGTCCTTTCTGGTTTGGGAGCTCACCTGATCCCTCACTGTTGAACTGTTTCATCTGAAGTTGACCGCAAGTCTAATTTTGGAGTCCTCTTACCTCCCTTATAAGCATCTCTGAATTTATTTCCACTCCTGAGTTTTCTCAGTTAACTAATTGCTAAGGTGTTAGCTAATTACAGGTTAAAGTATTATACTTCCCCTAGAGCACTGGATAGCTCTTGGTGGAATTGCAGACATAGTACTAAAAAAAAAAAAAAGACATAGTACTAAAAAAAGACATAGTACTAAAAAAAAAAAAAAAGAAACTGTGAACTTTCATACTTCTTGGCCCACTGCTGTGAACTTACTGTAGATATTCAAACTGATCAGGGTGGGGAAATGAATACTGAGTGGATAAAGCAACAAGTGATAAGAAAACCTAGTCCTCAATGGTGCCCTAGGGTCAGGGTGCACTGTGAAAGGTGAATCAGCAGATTGTGCTGAAGTTAAAGGAAAAAATCCTCAAAAAGTGTCTCCTCACTTCTCCCCATGCATGATGGCAGCCAAACTGAACTTCCAAAGTAGTGTTTCTTCATGAGTAATTTTAGGACCCCTGCATGTGTTCCTAGGGGTGTTAGTTAACGCTGTTTCTGAGTCCACCTCCAAACCCCAACTCCCATAATCTCTGGGGAAAAGTCCTGGCCATCAGCATTCTGAGGAGTTCCTTAGCTGATTCTCATCTGTGCTAACACCTGGGAACTGAAGTTCTGGAGTTCATATATTTATTTCTTTTTGCATGCCCAAGCTATTGTTACTGGGGAAAAAAATCCCTAGGCAAGGGGGAAGCTAGGTTACTTATATTAGTGTTTKATGGGTCCTGGAAGATAATCAAAGGGATCCAAACCTGTTCTTAGCTCCTCAGAAGTGAGTGGATTTGAGGATGGAGATTGACTTGGTAATATCCCTATAGATATGCAGAGCACAGACTACTGAATGCTGAACCTTCTGATGTTCTTGGGCTGAAGGTTCACTTTTTGGATTCTTATGGCTGATAAGTGACTGCTGATCTGAAAATGATGTACAGAGTATTTCCCTTAACCTGCAGTCCAATTCACATGCCCTATTACAAGCAAAAAAATAGGGATATTCCAAGTTCATCCTAACCTTGCTTTGCTTTTCTCTTTCATTTCCTTTATAAAAGGCACGCACTATAGTGGAAATGCTTAGTTAGGTTAGAAGTATAATCATATTCATTCTTTAGCCAAATGGCCTATCTGGTCCAGAGATTTTGTTGTAAAAGCATGGTGTGCATTTTTCAGGTCCCTTTTGCCTGACCTCTGTCCCCCCCCTCACCGCATTCCCATTCCTTTTCATAGTGGCATGTAAACATGTTCCTATTAAATGTTAGGATGGTGTTAGAGATCCAAAACCTTCTTAAGAACTTGGCTCTTTGCCTGATCCAGTCAAACCTTGCCTGCAATGATATTGAGTTTGCTTTATTTTTAAGTATGCCCTCTTCCTCGAGTTACTCTAGCACTTAAACTGCTCCCCATTCAGAATGTGGGTACAAATCTAGATTGGGGAGTTGTACCAAAAGCTATAGCCCTGGATAATTCTGTTTTATGTTAAGATTAAAACCAACAACCCAGTAAGACAYAGGTTTGAGTAACATTTTTATCTCTGGTTGATAGTGCAGAGAAAGGGCTAAAACCTGGGAATATTATTGTGGCACCTGGTGAAATGTTAATAGGAGCTAGGGGTTGTCTGATTGTTCACAGGTCCCTTATACAGAGGTTACTCCTAACTTTGGACTCCTGCTAGGAAAAAGCTTTTTACCCTGGAGACCTAGGGGGTGAGTTTGGAAAAAGAATCACTGCTGCATGTTAATCTGGGGAGAGCTGACTTGACCCCTAGAAGACCTAGATCTTGGTTTCCTTCACCTTTGTCAATCCTTACAAAAGAGCATTACAAAGTATCTCAAGGGCTCAGGAAAGCCAGGAGTTGGGGGAGGAGGGCAGCCTGATTGCCTAGGACTCACAAGTCCGATTTGTCCTTTGATACTCTTCCAGCTCCGTTTTTCTGCTCACAGCCAACTGTAGCTCCTGGCGGATCACCTGAATCTGCTTCTCCAGCTCTGAGAGTTCCTGCATCACTGAATTCCGAGCTACGTTGAGGTTGTCGGCTTTCCCATTGGTGGTCAGTGAGGCAGGGAGCTCTCTTCTCCTTGGAGGGAGAGGGATGTCTTGGTGGGTCYGAATGCCCAGCTGGTTTTGTCCTCCCTCATCACTAAAGATGTATTTTCGTTGGTTGTCATGACTCATATTGGAAGTATTCCACACCATGAGTTGATGGGGTCCTGTGTTGGACCTAGGAAGCAAAGACAGTTCAAATTCAACTTCCATTATGCAGCCTTCCAGTGCTCTTCCCCTGCTGGCCGTGTCCTGCATGAACAATATAGAGCTGGGTATGCCTTTCAAGATGARGTTACAAAGCCATTGATAAACTTGCTTGCTAGGTGGGTGGTGGGGGACTATAGGAGCCATGAACTTTCAACTGAAGTTCAAGGTCTTATCTTTTTTTTTTTTTTTTTGAAGAGAGAGAGAGAATTTTTTTTAATATTAAATTTTCAGTTTTCGGTGGACACAACATCTTTATTTTTTTTATGTGGTGCTGAGGATYGAACCCAGCGCCCTGCGCATGCCAGGCAAGCGCATTACCACTTGAGCCACATCCCCAGCCCCCTTATCTTGTCTTTTGTGCTTTAGAAATGGAACAGGGTATCATTTGATGGTATGTGGCGTGGCACATTCTTTTGTAAAGAACTTTAGGTGCCTTCCTGAAGGGGAAGCACAGTAAGCAACTCTGCCTTGAATAGTCTATGACTGTAAAGATGATGATTTAGTAAGAGTGAAAGTCTCTTTATTCAGATGTTGGCCTGCAAGCATCAGTCTGCTGACAGATATGATTATATGGCTTATCTCAATCTCACAGGGCCATGCTGATGTTTACTACTTGATTAAGGGGAGAATAAAAGTATATAAGCCACAGGTTTCAGCAAAATGCTTTTTATTACAGGGATGTTTTTATGTAGTTTGAGAATAACAGGTCAGATCTGATGCTTAAAAAAAAAAAAAAAAGTCCCAAGAAAGACTCAGGTTCTTGCTGGGATAATGAACGTCAAATTGAAATGGATTTGAGGTTTGTGCTCCTCTTTCAGGCTTGCATTGTGGCTCCTATCATCATTTTGGAGAAGTGGCTATAGACAGTAAGAAAGTTATTGCTAGATAGGTACAGGAGGGAGGTGAGCTTGTTTCTGAAATGCACTTTGATAGTTGTATGCAATKCGAAGAGTTTCTCACTACAAGAACAGTTAAGAGCCCTAAGCAGTAAAACTGCTGACTTCTATCCTAGGAGAAGACCAAGGAGGAAGATTATGACTTTATGACTGCTTTTGCTGTCTGGGTAAAATGCAGTAGAAACACCCTATTAAATCCTTGTATTTTTGCTCCCACCCACATTACTAAACTGACTATTCCTTTTTACCTGCTAGGGAGAAAGGGAAGGAGGAGTAAGGGCAAGGGTGATAAAGTCTTGATGCATTTACATGATTGAGAACAAAAACACAAGGACTTAATAGAATGATTCTCTTTTGCTTGCCCTGAGGTAGATTGGAAATGTGGTCTGGTCCTTCATTCCTCCTTTCGGCCATGCTCCTCTGTCATGGGACTTGGCTGTACATCCCTATCAGGATGCTTCCCTTCTCTTTGAATGAGGACTGACGGTCTTATAACTTGTTTCGACCAATAGAAAAGGTGGCAGTTCCAGCCTAAGCTTTCAAGAAGCATTTCTCTTCTAGTCCCCTGTTGCTACAATGTGAACAAGTCCACATTAGCCTGCTGGGTGATGACAGACCATGCGGAGAGAGTCCTCCATCGCCCTAGTAGACCAAATGAGACCAATCATAGGCCAGGCAGCTTTTAGTTACTCTCCCCTCCCCAAGCTGGCTGCAAACATAAGGAAGCCTGGTCCAATTTAGCCAAGTCTGGCTCAGATCAGCAAACTGCTCAGCTAATCCATAGATTAGTAAAYAACTCCCTGTTGTTGAAAACATTAAGTATTAGAACAATTTCTCACACAGTGAAAACCAACTGCTATATTCCCCAAGCCATTAAAGCACACAGACATACCAAACTACCCTTTAGTTCTTTAATGTTTCTCTTAGTTTGTTTCATATTAATGAGCAGAATGTACCAGAGCTCAGTTTTCCTATGTCCTAGACTGGGTAAAAGTTCTATAACGAACCCACTTAGAGCTCCCCTAACTTTAGATTAGAATCAGAGAGAAGACAAATAATAATTTTTCTTCTGGTCTTATGGTCCCCTTAATTTTTCACATGTTGACTATGTATATATAATCTCTTGCAATATCCATTTGTTTCTCTGCATTAAATCAAAAAGGAACAACATCTGTCTCCATACTAGGGCTCAAAATTTTTGCAAGACTTTCCTCAAGATCATTTTAATAATTCATAATTCGTGGGCAAAGGAAATGTGGGCCCAAGACCACCTCTCATTCATAACAGAAAACAAAGGGGTAGGCAGCATGATTGTTTTTCATAGCTGTATCTCCTATGGGSCTGCTGCAGTCCCTTCCCTCCAGGTCACATCTAACTAATCAGGAAGGTTTCCACTTTTCCTTACAGCYTCTCTTTCCAGTCAGAGAGTGCTTCCTGACCCCTTTCAGTCTGTGACATTCCTGTATCACAGTACAAGTCTGTTAGTGACAAACTGTTGGTTACTCAGGTCACAGCCACGAGGACTTATTCTGTCTTAGCTTTGCCTCAAAGTAAGAGATTCAGAAAGGAAATCTGCCAAGAAATTGGGTACATTGAGTGAGCAGACACACTTGGCTCCCAATTGAGGTGAGATAGATGTGAATAAGAATGGCATCACAGTTGGAGACGAGATCACTGGGCTTCCTGTTTATTGCTGGAAAACAAATGTTTTGTCATTGTAAGACTGCATCTTTGCTGCTGCTGTGTCTTCTTGTGTTCCTCTCATTAAAATTTTATGTTAAAAATAATTATAGAAAAATCTATGTAACGTGACATGGAACAGCTGTGACCTGATTAGGCTACAGCTTGTCACTAAGAGACTTTCACTGTGATAGAGGCATGCCACAGACTTGAGAGGGAGCAGAGAGTGCTCTCTGACTGGAAAGAGAGGCTCTAAGAGACAATGGAAATGATTCTGACTAGCTAGATGTGCCCTGGAATGAAGGGACTGCAACAGCCCCATAGGAGATACAGCCATGACAGAGAACCATGCTGTTCACCCCTTTTTCTTCTGTATAAGTGAGCGGTATGAAAATCAGATTTCAAACCTACCCAGAAAACTACACTTTGAAGCTGGATTGCAGAGTTGCTCAGAGTAGATGYCCCCATCTGAGGCCTCTGGGCACACGAAGAACCAGCAGGGCATAGGCAAAGAGGCCACCAGAAATGCTTCTGAAATCTTCAGTCACCATGAATGAGGTGACAGTCGTGCACAGGTGGCCATGGTGAGGATGTGGAGTTTGAAGTTTCAAATGTCATTGATGCATTTAATGTTTGCTACTTTCTGCCAATGAAATGCTGTTTTCTAGGGAGTTCTAAGAGTGAAATCTAAGGAAATCAATAAGGAAGGACATGTCTGTTGTGTATTTCAAACATTCCTAGGAGTGCTGGAAAGAGGCTGGAAGYAGAAACATGCCCAAAAGACAATAGCACATGAAATTAACTGCCTGTAGCACTCATGAATTCAGTTTCAACTGTATTCTGTACCTAATAATAGTTAATATTTATTAGGCATTTGTTTTGATTTCAAGGTTTGGCAAATATTATCTCTTTAATCTTTACAGCAACTCTAGGAAATAAATATTGCTTTTCTCAGTTTCACAGATGAACCTGAAGCACAGGGAAGTTCAAGAACTTGTCCAAGGCCACACATATTGTAAGTGGTAGAGATAGGATGGATCCAGACACTTGACTCCAGTGTCCACACCTGCACTTTCAACCATGACAGTATTGTGCCTATTCTGCACGTGTGTGTGTTTTAGTTTATCCAAAACTATATGTACTTATATTGATTTTGTTTATCAACAAATTGTCCTGATTTGATCTGAAAAATTATTTAGTCATAACTTCCCTTTTGGGCATGGGTTCTCAGTTATGTCTCTAAACTTACTTTAGCAAGTACAAAGACAGCTGGCATTGGCCTCCTCTTACCTCTTTTCCACGCGTTTGGTCTTGAAGCGCTGTTGCTTTTCTTCTACAAATGATGTGTTTAATGCTCGATGAAATCTCTGGTGGAAAGAACAGATTTAGAGGTAGAGATCATTAGAAACACATGGGTCAGGAGACAAAGTACCGCTTGGGATTTAATGGAGTATCTAGTCTCTATAAAACTTGGCCTCTTTAACCAAATTTCAAGGATGCCTGAAAGTATATCAACATTCAGCCTCAAACCTCAGGATAATAAGAATTCTAATTACATGTTATTATTCTACTTGGAGGGGGAAAAAAGAGATCTATTAGGAAGTTTGGAAATGTTTTGGATTGTAAAATGGTGAGTGATATAAAGAAGTGTGAACATAGCCCATGTGAAGTAAAGCCTTGTACATTTGCTAAAATGATCAAAACCTTGTTCCTACATTTTGGCAAGAGAAACATAAATCCTGAGAGTTAAACTAATTATATTAACATATTAGCATACAATGGAGATCACTTTGTGGAACTCTCCTAGGAGACCAAGTTCTCCCGGGAAGGAAGCAGTATGACAGTATGAATAGGGTTCGACTGAAACCGAACCAATGATAGTATTCCATATAGAAACAAAAAGGTACAGCATTAAGAGAGCCAGAAGGTCAGCAAGAGAATAGACAAATGGGGGCAAGAGAGGCAAAATACACAGACTCACTGGTGAGAAGTGACCCAGGGTGTGCAGGTAGAGGGATCCCGCAACTGGGGAAACCAGGACCACTCACCCTCCTCACCTTGGTGGATGAAAACACTCTATTTGTGAGAGCCTCTCCATTATAAGACACCCTCTGACCACATTTTGGTTTTCCATGCCAATATCCTGCAGGTAAGTATGGGAGGAATACGTAAGGGGGTGTCAGAATGGTTGGTCTGCTAATGGTTTCTGTCCTCCCTGTACATCCATGTGATGGTGTCTGGGTTGCATGCAAGAACTGTGGCACTATTAACCTTGGCCTGAGCACCAGCAGGCTAAGAGGACCCTCAAACCTCTGGACTAGAGAAAACAGAGAACAGGGCAAATAGTCACTCAAAGGGAAATAGGGATCTTGAATTCATTTAATAGGGTTCAATTTTGGCAAGAAAAGAATCTGTAGGTAATACATTTTTCACACCATCTCTTAACATGGTCACCATTAAGTGGAATCTCATTAAAAATAGTTCTATTTATTCTATTATGAGTAGCAGTGGAGAGTTACAGGAAAGGAAGGGACACTGGGATTGCTTAATTTAGGGGGAAGGCAAATCAATGGGACAGAAGAAAATCCATCTTCTAATTGAGTGCCTACACTACTCTTGTTCTTTTGGGGGTTTGCCATTTGTCAGTCTGACATAGGGCTCTAGATCCTCCCATCACTGAGTATGGGATCATTGAAGCGAGAGACCTATAGCACTCACCTGACTGGTGTGCAGCCAATATTGCAGTTTGGATTTGTTTTTGATTCGTGGTAACAGCAGCCTGTACACTATGTGCTCTCCAATGGTTGTCAAGATGGACAGACCAAATCCAATGCACAGCAGCACGAAGAGTCCAGAGAAATGTTTGATGCCCATTTGCAAAGTCTGTGACAAAACAGGAAAGGCCATGAATGTGATGCTCCATGTGATCCAATGCCAATTCATTTTTTTTCTTTTCTAGACTCAGCATCCTGCTTTTCTGGACCCAAGGAAAGCTGGAGACTATTCCTCTGTGTGTTTAGTGAACGTCAGCCAGTACTGGACTGAGGGTGGAGCAGAGCACAAGCCCTGGGGTACTACTCTCATATTAATCTCATTGTATGAATTACACCTGGTGTTGTGCCAAGGCCCTGGGTGTTAACAACACCCCATGCCCCTTAGAGATGGAGAAAGTAGAGATGGAGCTCAAACAATTTAATATGTTCAAATGCTGAATAGCTGTGAAGGAAAGAGACTCTCTCAGGGACAGAGAATAAATAGATTTAAGGAGAAAAGAGATGCCTTTAGTAGTTGTGGAATTTATATCTGACAGGGAAAATGGAAATCATCTAGTTCAATGCCTTCATTTTACAGATAAGGAAACAGATCAAAGAAGTGTAGTAAGTTGAACCAGCCCATGAAATGAGGTAGCTGAGGAGGAGAAAGAGAAAGAACTTAATATTTATTGGTTGCAAACTTTTTGCCAAGTATTTTGTATTTAGATAGGTATTATAATACCCATTTTATAGTTAAGGAAACATACTATGCAAGTCCTTGGATGCCATGCTAAGGAATATGGGTGTTATTTGTCATCATTACCACTGATAATTATTTAGCACTTACTATGCATAAGACACAGTTCTGAGTACTTCATCAATGTAGCAACTTGCCTAATCTTCATAACAACCTGTGAGGAAGGTACTGTTTATATCCCTATTTTAYAGGTGAAGAAACTGCAACAGAGAAGTTCAGTAACTTGTCCAAGGTCACATAGCTAGAAAGTTAGTGCTGGGTCAAGACATGCAGTTTATCTCYAGGAGAGCCACACTCTTGACTTCCTCATCTGTCTGATGTGAGAGATCCTCCTATTCTCTTTAAAGGATTTCCTTTATTTCATTCTCCCTGACTCTCCCCACCCAGTCCTGGAGAAAAAGCCAGCCAGGCATGGTTCAGGCACTAGGTGCACTGGGAAGTCCATCTTGGGATCAAGACTGGGAGATGGAGCCTAGTTCATTGATTCTCTTTTCCTCCATGATAGGACTTTGGGCAAAGACTGTAGATCAAAGATCAGCATTAGAATCCCCAAAGAAGGAAAGACAAGAGCTGCTCAGGGGCTCAGAGGTTTAGGAGACTGAGATATAGGCAGGAAAGTGAGGCAGAGGACTTCAGAATAAAGGCAGATGCCTAGACCCTGCTGGTCTAGGAGAGGGTTTGGAGAGGAGGTACACTGGGCCCTCAGGACTACATAGGTACTGGGCCTTTTCCCTGGGAAATCTCTGTACTAGAAGTGACAAATTACATAAAATTAACCTCTAGAAAGTACATACAAATGTATTGAAAGTAGACCTTATCCTATGTCTATTGTAAGGTGAACAGGATTGGCTATTAGAAATATCCAAAGAGGAGTTATTGCTATGGATAAAGAAAAAACTGGGGAAATTCATTTTGGACTTTAACACTAACATCATCAGACATTCAGTAAAACTCTGAATAGACAGATGAGCACTGCCTCCTTAGGAAGCTAAGACATTGTCAAGATAAGGAAGAGAAATGAATGCAACTTATAACAAGACATCTTGCCTTTGAACACAGGGTTCTCTCTCTGTTTTCCTGTGCGTAACAGTAATTAGTCTCATTTTCCTCTGGTGACCTCAGTAATAAGTAGGCTATATTCAATTTATATTGCACATTTCTTTCTTTAAACTTCTGATGTTTATACCCTCATTCTAACAGATTATAGAAGTAGTTGTGTTTTATTAGGCATTTAATATGTGTGCCAGGAGCCACATATGCACATTATGATCTTGCAATAACCCCATAAGTTAAGTAGTATTACCTCCATTTCACATTTGAGCAAATGGAGAATCCTGGAAATTAATTACATTATCCAAGATCATACAAGCAAATATGTGGGGGAGTCAGACCAGGTAGTGAATCTGGGCAGTGTTATGCATAAGCCTGCATTATCTCTTGAGCAAATGCCACTTATAGGTATCCTTTACTCTCTGAATTCTCACTGTCTACTCACTGTAAAAACTTGCAAAAGAATTTTATTAAAAAACTCAGCATCTAAATTGAAAATCCATTATAATCTGCCTGTAAGCACCAACCAAAATGTTTAAGTTGTGTCTGAGTCTGAGTGATAAGATGTGCAGCTGCAGTTGATGTGCAGCTGTGGTTGTAATTTGGCCTTTCTTCCCCTAGGATCACGGATCTTTAAATGTGCTATGCATTGGATATTCACATCCACCCCACGTTATCAAGTGAAAACCTTTTTTTCTAATAAGGTGGAACTTGCTCAACTCGACACTCATCCTTGGATAGGGGGAAAAAAAAAGAGGAGCAATGAATATTCATTGTCAAATATTTAAAATAAATTTAGCTGATGCAGACAAAAAGATCATTGCAGTTTCAAATGACATGAGCAGAAGTATATTTAAAAATGCAATCATGAGCCTGTTCTCATGTTGCTGAGAGCTGTGTAAGTGAAAGCTAAAAGAATGCAAGCAAACTAAACTTTTTAGTATTTTTTTTTTTTTTTACTCCCTTTTAATCCCATTGCTTCATCTGCAGTTTCGTTTGATGGCTTACAGCCACCTTCTTCCAGAGCCTCCAGCTTCAAGAGAAGATTGTCCCAGGGTTTAGCCATGGGCAAATCTTATATAGTTAATGGCTTCACTTAGTTCTTCACTTAGTCCTACCCCCTTTTAGGCAAATCTTTCATCAGTAAGTAACCATTCAAGAAACTGCCTTGCTTATTTTTCAAAATTTTATTTTATTTATAATATAAAGTATTTCACTCATCATTTGCCTGAGATCTTACTGATCAAATCCTATGCAACTAATCTTCTCTACCTCCAATCCACATCTCCCAACATATATCAACATATATATTATGTTTTGCATTCTATTTATATTAGTAAACCATTTATTGCACTGTGGAGGGAAAGCATAGTTTGTATCTGATATCATACTTTGCATATTGCATCCAGGGATATCCACTAAATAAGCACTAAAAAATTGGAATTGTAAATACTCTATATTATGCAGAAATTCTTGGTGGATTGTCATATAAAACAATCTATGCATTGTGCATCAGGTATTTGACAATGATAGGTGTCTAAGAGTATTTTAGTGATACTTCAGGAAACTGGTTGGGATTCATGGATATGGTGAGAATCATTTTTTATAATTTTTTCCATCTGGAAATTCACCAGTGAACACAGTTCTAGGAGCCGACTAGATTCGGATAAAGAGGGAGATGCCTTTGCTATTAAAAGTGTGCTTTTTGCCCAGATCATCAATGCTTCCAGTAAAATGTAGGGGTCATCATTGGTCGGGGGAAGAAGCAGCAATTTTGCTGCTGCCCAAACCTTGTTTTGCATCTTGCTCAGATGTGGRCACTTGAAACATCTGACAGCTGGCTGGATAAGTGACAAGTTTTCAAGCCTCCAGCAAGAAATGCAATTAAAGTATTTCACTCATCATTTGCCTGAGATGTTACTGATCAAATCCTATGCAACTAATCTTCTSTGCCTCCAATTCACATCTCCCAATATATATCAACCGTTCAATTTCTCGGGTTCTCTACAGTTTCTATATTTATTGGTTTTGATTCTCCTCTCATTGTCTCCTGGACCCACTTAACTCAGGCTTTTGTTGTCCTCTGCCCTAATTACCTGTCAAGCAACTCCTATCAGTCATCAATTACCTCCACATTATCAAATCCAGTGATCAGTTGTCACCTAACTCATGTATCCGGGGCATTGTTGATTGCTCCTTCCTCTTTGATATCTTTTCTTCAATTTGTTTTTGGCATACCCCTATCTCTTTGTTCCATCTCAATCTCTTGCACTGTTCCTCCTCATCTTTCTGACATGCCTTCAATCCTTTGCTCTCACTTTCTCATYCACAATATGGCTTTAAATACCACCTATACATAATGATTCCTAAGAATTTGGGACTTTTATTCCTCAACTCCCTATTCAACTTCTTTACTTGATTATCTAATGGATATCTGAAATTTAAAACATCAAAAATGAACTCCTAATTTTCTCCTTGAAAGCTGCTTCTTACATTGTCCTTCTCATCTCAGTGAAACTCCATTCTTACAATTGCTTAGGACAAAAGCTGTAGAGTCATCTTTGACTCCTCTCTTTCTTTTGCATTCTGTATCTCATATGCCTCTAAATTAATGGTGGACCTGATGTTCAGAGTAGATCCAGAATCTGATGACCTCCCACCACTTGGACCATACACCCTGGTCCAAATTACCATCACATCTTACCTAAATTATTGAAATAGCTTTGCAATTATTTTCCCTGATCCCTTCAGCTTGTCTTTTACATGGCAGCTAGAATGACCCTCTCAAAACATCATGTCCCTCCTGTGTTCAACACCAAKGTTTTMCATCTCATGCAGAGTAAATTACAGAGTTTTATAATGGGCCTCAAGCCTTATGTGATCTTGTCTCACACTTCCTAATTGCACATCTTCTTTCTCATTTGTTACTCTGCTCAGCCTGTGGGATGCCCCAGTGTTCCTTAAATCCATTCAGCAAATAGTTGCTYGAGGGATTTTTATTTTCTGTTTTCCCTCCTGTAAATTCTTCTGCCAGGAGTCAATATTGCTTCTTGCCRACTTTTCATCAAGTCTCTGCTCAAATTCACCTATTGGGTGAAGTCTACCCTAACTACAGTGGCTTTTCTTCCTCCTCTCTCAGACAATCTGTCCTCCTAAATCTGACTTATTTTCCTCTTGACATATATTTATTTATTCATATTTCCCTTCTCAAGTAGAACATAAGCTGCAGGAARGCAGGGATTTTGCCTATTTTGCTCAGTACCTAACCTGATTATCTAGAACAGGGTCTAGCACACATCAGGTGTTCAATAAATATTTCTTAA